CCCTCTGCCCCTGCCTGCACTCTTTCTCTCACGTAAATAAATCTTAACAAAAACAAACAACAATAAAAACACAAAGAAAAACAGAACCAAAACATGCACACAAAAACCCTGTGGGATGTGATGCTACCCCTGAGAAAGGAACCATCTTGTGTAGCAAACGATTAACAAAACACAAGGGAGGGGGCCTGGGTGGCTGAGTCGTTAAGTGTCTGCCTTCGACTCAGGTCACGATCCCAGAGTCCTGGGATCGAGCCCTGCATCGGGTTCCCTGCTCGGCGGGAAGCCTGCTTCTCCTCCCACTCCCCCTGCTTGTGTTCCTGCTCTCACTCTCTCTCTCTCAAATAAATATTAAAAAAAAAATTAAAAAAAACCACAAAACACAAGGGAAAAACAGACATGGTGCGTGTGGTGGTCCAGGGACCCTTCCTTTACCTGTCACGTCTTCGACTCTACAGCAACAAGTTTCAGGTCACCCCTCCTGAAAGATTCCCTGTGTGCCCCCAAACCCCTAACTGGGGAGAGCACAACCACCATACCCCCTCACCTGCAAGGAAATGTCATTGATCTGAACGTCATCGGTGCTCCATTTCCCAAAGAGCTTGATGTCAGGGGTCTCCGCCACTGCAGGTGCAGCTGTCTCCCACTCGGTCATCCTAGGAACACGAACTATCAGAGCCCAGGCACACCCTCCGCTGTGAGGCTGACCCGCAGCTGTGAACGGGAAGTACGTGGAACCAAGAAAGGCTGTAAACATCTGGGTCCATCCTTCTGAGTCCTAGAGAAGCCACTTAGCTGCCACGTAAGCAAGAAGCATCTCTCTCACCGACGGCCCCGGAACCAAGAGCTGGCGGGCCCGGGTCAACAGCTGCTGCACGGACCCGTATCTGGAAGGGAGATGCCAAATGCCCGGACACCGCCCCCGCTCGAGTTCAAACCCCAGCCACGTCATTAACGAGCTCTGCCACGCCGGGAGAGTCAACCTGCTTCAGACTCTGCTTCCTCTTGAACGAAAGGGGAACGTTAACCTGCCACCCAGGGTCAGTACACGAACTCTGCACATTCTCCAGGCAAAGGCTACAGTGCGTGTCCGACACCAAGGACGTACCAGGACCCGCTACCGACGAGAAAACGGCGGACGCGCCGGAGAGCGCATCGTGTACCTAGGAGTAACGGAAGCCTCCTATCTCAGCTCACCGCGGCAGGGGCCAAACCGCGGGGCACGGCACGGAGGTGCGGGACACCAAGGAGAGCCCACCTCTCCTGCGCCGCCGCGTTCCTCAGCACGTTTTCCGGAGAAAGAGGGGGAACCCCCCACCCAAGGGGAGCCCCGAGCCTCGGGGGTCGCTCATGGGTCCTCAGAAAATCCTGAATCATCCCTCGGACCCCGGAGCCGGCGGCGGCCTCACCTGAGGGCGCAGCCGGGGCGTCACAATCGATTAGCGCGCACCACGCGCTGCCCTGGCACAGACAGGAAGAGACCGCGAACCGCGGGCCGAAGCTTTTAAAGGGGGCGAAAACTTCCGGGTTAGTGGGGATGACGCGTGTGCAAAAAAGACACCGTATACTCAAGGACCAATCCGGAACAAGAATGTAAAAGCGCCCTCTGGGCCAAACGGAACACGTAAGTCCCCTGCGCCCGCGCACTTGCAGAAACGGCCCCACAAGCGTGCCTGGCGGATGTTCTAACATCCAGTACTTGCCCGTTCTTAGGGGCCCTTGCACAAGCGCAGAGATCTCCCTGCGGCCAAGGCCGCCATGTCTAATGAGGGCACAAGTCAGGCTCGCCCTCTCGGCCCCGCTGGGCCGCTGATTTCACGCCCCACCTGCCGCCGGTTTCGAGTGCGGTAGCCAGTTCGGCACCTCTCTTTCTTCGTCCAGGTCACGGCCACTTCACAGACAAGCGCAGCTGCAGGCTCGGGGAAGAGGAGTGGGCCTGGCGGTCACGACTGCCCCCCGCTGGGCCTGGCCTCCACGTGCATGCGCGAGTTCCTCTCGCGGGTCGGCCTCCCCCCACCCCCCCACGCACGCTCGGGTTCCTGCCGGCCTGAGCCTCGCAGAGAGGACCCTTTCCGGCTTGACCCCTCTTCATCCGATGCCAGGGTATCCCCATCTCTCTACGACCCCTGCAGTTCCTGCCGCCTTTCGTCGCGTGCGGGCGGAGGTTGGGGAGGAGCCCTGGACCTGGGGCCAGGGGCTGTGCCCAGCAGGTGAACTGGGCGGGGCAGCCTCCACTCTGATACATCTGGGTCCTGTGTTGATTCCGAGGTCACTGGACGGGTGCGGGGGGTCGGCAGTGGTGGCGGCTGTAGCCCCACCCATTGACCAGGTGGCAAGCGTCCCCACCCACTGACCAGGTGGCAAGCGTGAAGAGTTTGTGCCTGCAACTTCACACGCTCCGCCTGTTTGGCGACTGCTCAACCTACTCCCTGGAGTGGAGCTGGGACGTGGACTAAGTCCAGGTGGGCTCCCCAGAGGCAGCGACCGCTGTGGTTGCTCACCCGTGCTGGCTGGCAGGAGGATAATGTGGCGGCATCTGGTGGTTTTTCTCCAGGGCTGCATGGGGCTCCTCACCTCCCGGTTCCTACCTTTGCCTCCAAGGGGATGCTTCCCCTAGCCAGACCCCAAGGAGCACAGCCACTTGACTTAATAGGTCCTCTGTAGATCCCCAGTGACCCCATTTGCCCACTCTCTGAGCATGCCCGTAGCAGGTGCTCAGCATCTGCCTTGTTTACTGTTGATTTTAAGGGCTAGCCCCTGCCCCTACCCCAATTTCAGGAGTGTTTCAGACCAGAGAGTCCGGGTCCTGTTGGACTGTTTTTTTGCTTGGGTTTTGGTTTTGTTTTGTTTTGGTGCAAAATGGTGTTTTTTATTAAAGCACGGGGACAGGACCCGTGGGCAGGAGCTGCTGCCCCCCCAACCTCTTCCCCTTCCCCCCTCCCCCCTGCCCTGGACTCAGGACACACCCTGAAGCTGGCCTGAGCATGGGGTTAGATCCTGGGCTGCCTTGGGGGCACAGGAGCTGCATCTGGACACCCCACAGTTGAGGTCAGTCCAGGGAAGCCGCTCCCTGACCCCAGGCTCCCAGGTGGGCATTAGGAGTCTAGGAATCTGATCTTACTCTTCAGAGCAACTGTATTAGGTGCGTTTCCCCATTTTATACATAGTCATGGAGGCCCAGAGAGGTACAACAAGCATATTTATTGCTCCTCCAACTCCTCCAGTGCTGTTTCCTTCTCCCACAGCTCTGTGGCATACAAGAAGTTGATCTTTCCCACTGTCCTGGCCACCGACCAGCATGTGTAAAGCTGGGCTTACAAGAGTAGGTGGCTTGGCTGGGGTGCTGGTTACAAGAGTGAGAATTCTTAGGGCGCCTGGGTGGCTCAGTCATTAAGCATCTGCCTTCGGCTCAGGTCATGGTCCCTGGGTCCTGGGATCGAGCCCCGCATCGGGCCCCCTGCTCAGCGGGAAGCCTACTTCTCCCTCTTTCACTAGCCCTGTGTGTGTTCCCTCTCTTGCCGTCTCGCTGTCAAATAAATAAAATCTGGGCGCCTGGGTGGCTCAGTTGGTTGAGCGACTGCCTTCGGCTCAGGTCAGGATCCTGGAGTCCTGGGATCGAGTCCCACATTGGGCTCCCTGCTCAGCAGGGAGTCTGCTTCTCCCTCTGACCCTCTTCCCTCTCGTGCTATCTCTCATTCTCTCTCTCTCAAATAAATAAAATCTTTAATAAATAAATAAATGAATAAAATCTTAAAAAAAAAAGTGGGAATTCTAGACTTTAAGGCAGAGGCAGGTGCTTGGGCCAGTCCACTCGGCCAGGTGCTGGGTGGGCTAGCCTAAGCCCCTTCCCTAGTTTCAATTTGCTCAGCTGCAGATTAGAACCACATATTCAGGGTGGCTCTGTGGAACTGTAGGTGGGGATGGAGCAACAGGGCAGAATGTGTAGGGCTGGGATGGCAATACTGGATCAGATCCAGACCTGTCCCCTCACCTGGAGCACGTGGGTGTAAAGAATAGAGGAGATGAGGGGCGCCTGGGTGGCTCAGTCGTTAAGCATCTGCCTTCGGCTCAGGTCATGATCCCAGGGTCCTGGGATCGAGCCCCGCATCGGGCTCCCTGCTCGGCGGGAAGCCTGCTTCTCCCTCTCCTACTCCCCCTGCTTGTGTTCCTGCTCTCGCTCTCTCTCTGTCAAATAAATAAAATCTTAAAAAAAAAATAATAGAGATGAGGTTTACCGGGAAACAAGCCTTCGCCTCGCCCTCAAGTAAAGGCTGGGTAGGCGAGTAGGTTTGGCGCTCGCCATGGTAACCATGATGCTCAGTCCTAACCTTAAGAGACGGCTTATTCCTCCCCGGCCCCATTCTCCACCCAAGAAGGACCCGTCGGGGAGTCCGGTTCTGGGACCGCGGGCGGAACTACATTTCCCTCAAGACCGCGTTGGCTCCTACAGGCCTTTGCGACCGGTTCTTTCAAGCCCAAAACGGCGGGAAGAAGGCGCTGTGCCGCGGCCTCCCCTGGAGGTCGCTTAGAGGGAAAGGGGTGCCGGCCGCCGCGCCAGCTTGGAGAACCACCGAGATGGTAGTCCTCCAGCGCCCACAGCTGCCCACTCAGCGCCCCTGCGGGACGAGCGGCTGGACTCCGTGCACTTAAGGTCCGGGTGGGGCAGCGGAGGGGTCAGTTTGTCGGTCCCGCAGCAGAGGGGTGGGGGCTCCGATTCCGGCGCTTGCCGGAGTGGGCCCTGGCCTAGGGAGGACGGGCGGCTTGGGCAACTTACTGTGTCGGAGCCTCTGGTGCGCTCAGAGGGACGGCGAGGGCTCCCGAGGAGACGCTTAATTCCCCGGAGCCGCCCAGCGCCTGGGCACTTGGCAGAAGGCCTCCCCTTCAGCCCATCTGTGATGGGGGCGGGGGCGGAGGGGTGCCGCGTGGCTTCTGCGACAGGCAGGGCAGGTGAGGGGTTAGGACGAAGTCGAGCACTTCACTGAGACTGAGACCCGCTGCACTGGTTCAGCCCGGGATGCGTGGCTTTATTGCCTGGGCCTCAGTTTCCACACCTGTAAAGTTGTGAATAACACGAGCAGCCACCTCACGGGGAGTTCGTGAGCTTCCAGTATCTTTCCCGGTGACTCTGGATCTGCATTTAAAGCCCTGCAGTGATTCTGAGCTCTCACATTTGCAGATTCCTGAAGATCTGAAGGCTAAGAATTTGGTCCACACCTGGCTGCTTCTTTCTGAGCCCTCATTTCTCCATCTGTAAAATGGACGGGATGTCACCGCCTTTTAGACGTGGAGTGACGACTGAATGAGCCAATCCGTGTAACATTCTTAACACAGGGATAGATGGTGCCTAACAGGCACTCTGAAAATTGTGGCTGCTTTTAATTAATTTATAAAATGGGTTGTCCATTCAGCGGACATTTATAGAACTCTGTTGTGTGCCAGGCTCCAGATGCTGCCCCAGCCATCTCCAGCTTTGGAGCTACCCCCCTTGAGGCCCTAGTTCCCACAGAGCATTGCCCAAATCCTGGCTTCCACATACAGCATAATAAAATGGTTTTGGGGTGTTCTGTTACTCAGCAATAGATAACTCAGCCCAGGTGTTAGAGCAAGGGGATCACTGATAGGTTGTACTGGCAAAAATGTGATGCACAGTATACTGTGAAGTCGGCTTTCTGTTTGGGTCTGGTCATTTTATAGAAATGGAATACTAGAATATGTGGCCTTTTATGTCTAGCTTTCTTCACTTAACTCCCCATGCCTAGTCCCACTTTCCTCAAACGACCCTGCCTCTTATATGTGCCATCTGTACTTCATGGTTTTCTTTACATTAGGGTTTCTTCACTTCAGCCCTATTGACATTTTTGTCAAGGGGTGGGCAGTGGGGCTGTCTTGTGCATTTCACCACATGTTCAGCAGCATCCCTGGCTTCCAACCATTATATGCTAGTAGCACCCCCAACCCCAGCTGTGACAACTAAAAATGTCTCCGGACATTGCCAAGTATTCCCCAGGGGGCAAAACTCTCCATTTGAGAACCACTGATTTATATCAACTCACTTGTTTTTGCTTAGATCCACTTATTGATAGGGAAACTTGACAACATCGACCAAAAATGTAAAACCAGCCAGAAGAAGAAGGGAACTCCATGTGTAAATACCTGAACAGACTACTGTGGTTAAGTTGTGCTTGATGATGTTGGAGACAGAGGCTCTGGGCTTGCCCTCACTCTGACAAAAGAGATGGCTTTTAAAAATGTCAAAGATTGGGGCGCCTGGGTGTCTCAGTTGGTTAAACTGCTGCCTTCAGCTCAGGTCATGATCCCAGAGTCCTGGGATGGAGCCCCGCATCGGGCTCCCTGCTCATGCAGGAAGCCTGCTTCTCCCTCTGCCTGCTGCTCCCCTGCTTGTGCTCTTTCTCTCTCTCTCTCTCTGTGTCAAATAAATAAATAAAATCTTTAAAAAAAAATGTCAAAGATCTCCCAGTGCCTTATGGAGATTGGTCCTTTCCTGCTTGCTGCCGTAACAAATTACTACTAACTTAGTGGTTTAAAACAATACATACTTATTATCTTACAGCTCTGGAGATCAGAACTCCAGTGAGACTTAGGAGCTAAAATCAAGGTGTAGGCAGGGCTGCGTTCCTTCTAGAGACTGCAGGGGAGAGTCTAGGTTCTCTGTTTTCCAGGTTGTAAAGGTTGCTCACGTTCCCTGTCTTGTGACCACACAACTCTGACCTCCTCTTCTATCGTCACATCTCCTTCTCTGACTCTGACTCTGAGCATCCCTCTTCTAAGGACTACTGTGATTATATTGGGCCCACCTGAAAAATCTCGGATACCCTATCTCATGATTTTTAATCACATCTGCAAAGTCCCTTTTGCCATATGAGGTAACATATTCACAGGTAGTGGGGATTAGAGTGTGGACATCTTTGGGGGTCCATTATTCTGTCTACCACACACATACATTGGACTCTAAACCCAGGTCAGCAACAGTTCCCATCATGAGGCTGGCACAGCCACCAAACAGCTAGCGTTGGGTGTGGCTTGTCAGAGGGACAGTCTGGAAGTACATACAGGGCAGCTGGTAATGAGGATAGGTCAGAGACAGGCAAAAATCAGTAGGCGCCCAGTGGTCAGACAGGTGAGAGCAGACAGAGGGGAGGGGAGGAACCAAGCCTAGAGAGACCAAGAGGTCACCTCACCCACTGAGCCGGTCGCCTTCAGTTCCTGCTGAAATTCCTCTATGTCTCTCACCTTTTAACAGCTCTCAAGACTCTAGGAAATCTGTCCAAGCCGTCCCAGGTTCCTCGGCTGCGGGGGTTTTCTTGCATGACTTCTGGCACCCTTGTCCCCTCCTGGGAACTGCCAGTCTCTCCATTTCTCTTTGGCGCTTCCAGATCTTGCTGTTAGGGTTCTGAATCGAAGGCCAGACCCAGGATGGAGGCTCCAGCCCAGGGTGCTGAGCAGGGAGCAGTCCCTGAGGCTGACTCCCAGTGAACTGCCTTGGGACTTCCGGAGAAACCTGCCGGGAAGCCAAGGTCCCCGGTGCAGGACAGTGCCGGGGCAGTCACCTCTCAGGAGGGGGACTTATGTGGAGGGTGGCAGGTGGCCGGACAGTGTTCTAGGGCGCAGGCTCCCAGGGCTGTGGCTTTGGCACGAGCCCCAGCCCAGCGACCTGACGGTTCGAGGGGGCTGGATTCCTCGCGTGAGGGTCCCACTTCCTCGCCAGTGCCGCGCACGACCCGGTTCTCACTGCCGAAGCCCGCTGAGCGTAGGGAGGTGCTTCCCTCGTGCTGCTCCCAGCATCAGCCCCACTCTTCCTCTCTAGAGAGGTGGGAATGGCCGTTCCTTTCTGGGTCGGACACGCGGAACGGCCCCAGTCAGGCCCGCACGCCGTCTCCTTGGCGACAGCGCAAAGTCAGACCGCGCCTCCTGGGTGGAGGGGCCGCGGCTGCCATGACAACCGGAGTCCTGGCGCGGCGCTCCTGGCGCGGCGGGACTACGTTTCCCGGCAGGCCTCGCGAGGGCTCCGGCTCTCTGCCGCAGGGGCCCTGATCCCTCGGTGCGCGGCGGCCCGAAGGCGGAGGGTGGCGGGCTCCGCGCTGCGTGCGGGGCGGGGACCAGGGGACCCGCGCGGGCCGCCCCCGAGCGAGTAAGTGGCGTTCGGCGCGTAGCCGCGACTCCGGCCTGCGAGGCGGGGGCCTCCGGGCGCTGGGCGCGCGCCCCCCCCCCTCTCCGCCTGCCCACCCCCTCCCTTCCGCGCGCGGGCTCGGGGCGGAGGCCTCCGTCGCGCGTTTCCGGTCCTCCTGCGCAGGGTCCGGGCTGGCCCCCGCAGGGCGGGCCTTCAGTTCCGGGCGGGCCTGGCGGCTCTATCCCCGGCTGCCGCGGACCGCGTCTTGCGCGTGCAGACGGAGCCCCAGGTGCGGAGGCCCCAGGCCCAGGCCCCGCCGTCGCGGCTCTCAGAATCAAGCTCAGACCCTCCCGTCGGCCGACACGGCCTCCCTCTTGGCGCCTCTGGTCCCGCCTCCCGGCCTTGGCTCGTGTTCCCACACCGGCTCCTCTTCCGTCGCAGTCCCACTGCCCCTTTCGCGAAGAGGCCTCAGAGGCCGCTCTTGCCCACGCTCTCACGCCGCCCCGCGTCTGTGCCTCACCGCGCTCATTTTCTCCTGTTCGTTGCTCCTTGCCTGCGCTGCTCTCGTTCACTGCCTGTAAGAGTGCCCGGTTCGGCTCCGCCGCGTCCCCCCGACCCTGACACCGAGGATGGCCCGAGGGCCAGGCCCGTGACGGTGGAGGCTTCGTGGGGAGGACAGGCGCAGAGCGGAGTTGTGCCCGCGCTCGGGGTGCCCCCGCCCCGCCGGGCCGTGCACCGCCCGTGCAGCCGTGCCGTGCCGAACAGGACGCCTGCTTATCAGCCTGGGCGGAGTGTGTCCAGCCCTGCGGACGGCCAGCCTCACGAACCTTTCCCCATGCGCTGTTGTCATGCGGTTCTGCAGGGCTCAGCCCGGGACACGCTCACCTCTCAGCCCCTGCTTGCCCGAAGGTGGCTGCTTGGCTTCCTGCTCCGCTCCACAGCAGCCCCGGAGAGTGTTAGAAAGGCTGGGGGAACCCTCAGGGTGCAGGGCATGCCCACCCAGGGCAGAAGGGAGGTCACTGTGAGAACATCTGGGACGGCTGCAGTGCAGGGTTGGAGACAGGCTCCCAGGAGCCCTTGCCGAGCTCAGCCTCAGATCCCGGGTCCATGACTGGAAGGTCATCCAGGTCCAGACAGGTAGGGTAGTTTGAAGGTGCAGGCTGGGAGCAGGGCAAGAGAGGCAGGGAGACTCAGCCACGGTCTGCAGCTTCCACTTGCTGTGTCTGATGCTGGGAGGCAGGTTTCTGTCACGGTAGATGGGCAGAGGAAGCCACCTATGGGAGCATGGTGTCTGGGGACCGCCTGGAGATGCCCTGTGCACATGGCTAATGGGTGACCCTTGGTCCCCACATTCTGTGAGTTCAGGGCTTCTTCCTGCTAGGCGGGAGCTGCTGCTCTTTCCTGGGACCACCCAGTCTTACCTGACCCTTTGCACTGAGCAGTCACCTGACTCTGCATCACCAGGGATCAGGAGAGCCCCCACACATAAACCCACTCATCCTGTGAAGGGTGCTGGACCAGTCTCTGTATTAATTTTCTGTGGCTGTTATAACAAATTACTACCAACTGGGTGGCTTAAAACAGCAGAAATTTATTCTCAGTTCAGGTGGCCAGTAGTCTGAAATGAGACGACATCAGGGCTCCAGTTTCTGAAAGCTCTGAGGCGGAAACCATCCCATGCAACTGTCCTAGCTTCCGGTGGTTTCAGATGTAACTTGGGTTGTGGCTTCATCACTCCAACCTTGGCCTTCGCCTCTTCTCCCTCACTCTTTCTTTTTCTTATGAGGATTCTCGTTACTGGATTTAGGGCCCACCCAGGGAATTCAGGATGATCTCATTGCAAGATCCTTAGCTCCGTCTGCAAATATGCTTTCCCCACTAAGATCACCTCCACAGATTCTGGGGGTTAGGGTGTATATGTATCTTTGGGGGGGGGCACCATTCAGTCCACTACAAGTTCCTTCGGTGGAACCTGCCCAGTGCTGGGTGACATCACACTCCAGGCTACCCATCCTCTGGCCTGTCCACTGATTGCATGGTGATTGGCTGTCCCGGATTGGCCAGGCCGCCCCAGATGTGTTCCCCCAGCCCGGTGGGTCCTTGGCCTCTGGATCCCTGAGGTTCTAGGAGGTCATGCTGGGTGCTGGCCTGGGGCCCTGCTCGGTCCACCAGCTGTTGTGCAAACCAGGATATGAGGCCAGCAACCATGACCCTGCAGGCAGACATTTACTGGAAGCCCTGGGGCAGAGGCATGGCAGGCACCCAGATCCTGTTTTCCCTCACACCTGGGGCATAGCAACCTGGTATCATGCCCAAGGGACTTGGATCCTGGCTATGGGGCTTACATAAGTATAGTTGTAGAAGTCCTGGTTCCTCCCCAGGGTTGATGCACAGAAATATGGGTGCCTGCCTTCCTGCTGCTCAGTAGTCACTGGGGGTCCCCTCCTCTCTGTGAGCGGCCAGAGTTCACCCTGGAGTTACAATTGTATGAGGAGGAAAGGAATGATCATCCCCATATCAGTGCTTATGGCTTCCCCAACAGCTTTGTACCTGGACCCCTGCAAGGGGTCGCCCTGGCTTTTGGGAGGCAGACAAGGAACCCTGCAGAACCTGCATGACTAGAGGCAGAGGCCGGCGGGGGGCGGGGGGCTGGTGCAGGGGAGGCTTGGGAGGTGGATGGGATGGGCTTCCCTTGCACAGCTCTCATCCACCAGAGGGCGAAGCCCACACTGTGAGAGGCAAAAGGTGAATGCTGTGGATGGTGGTGGAGACCCAGTGGCTAGCCTGGGTGTGGAGGTCAGGGCTCCGTTGTCAGACAGAATGGGGTGTGAGTTCCCTTTCCAAGTCACAGCTCTTGCCTTTGCCAAGTCACAGCTTCCCATCTGTAAATCAGTGGTGACAGTGCCCTGGGGCTTGAGACACCATAAAGCATCTCCCTATGCCCCAGCTTGTTGCCCATTAGGTACAGCAGGTGTGTCTAGCTTCCTACCAAGAGTTTTCTTCTTGAGATGAGTGGATTAAGAGACACTTGGTTGAAGAGAAGTCTGGGACCTGGGGAGAATGCTGTTAACATAGAGGTTAAGCTTCTGATGTGAAAACTGCTTGGTGTACAGTCACCTTGGGCATGTGGGAGAAGTTAATATTTTATTTTTACCTAGCAGTTTTGAAGACCTTGTTTTTCTCGTTACGAAAGTATTGTTAAACACACACACACACACACACACACACACACCTCTCCATCCCATGCATTAGTATCCCTATGGCCGGGGCTCAGATGACATCCTGGATGTTGCAGGGCGTACTCACCTTGGCTACTCTACAGCAGACAGCTGGGCACACTGAAGGCAGGAACACTTTGTGCCATGGGTGCATTCCTTTGTTGTTTTTTGAGATACAGTTCATGTAACGTAAATGAACCATCTCAAAATGTACAATTCAGGTTGGTTATTAGTGCAATTTTTAGTTTTTAATATATTTACTATGTTGTGCAACCATTGTCTAATTCCAAAACATTTCCAGCACCCCAAAATGAAATTGCATATTCATTAAACAATTAGTCCCCATTCTTCTTCCCTCTCAGCCCCTGCCAATCACCAATCTACCCTTTGTCTCTATGAATTTGCCTATTCTGGATTTTTCACATAAATGGAATTATACAGTGTGGTCTTTTTGTGTCTGGCTTCTTTCACTGAGAATAATGTTTTCTGCGGTCCATCCATGTGTTACTATTTCATTCTATTTTATTGCTGAGTAGTATTCCCTTGTTTGGGTAAACCACATTTTGTGTATCCATTCCTCCGTTGATGGACATTTGGGTTATTTCTACCTTTTGGCTGTTATGAAAAATGCTATAATGAACATCTGTGTGCAAGTTTTTGCTTGACTGCCTGTTTTCATTTCTCTCGGATAGATACCTAGGCGTAGAACTGCTGTGTCATGTGGTAATGCCATGTTTAACCTTTTGGGGAACTGCTAGGCTGTTTTCCACTGTAGCTGGTTGCATCATTTTCCATTCCCACCAGCTGTGTGAGAGCGCATTGGGCAACTGCCTTTTTTCCTGCCAGATCTTCCTGCCCATCTGTCCTCATTCGGACAAAGTCTGAGTGTGGAGAGCTCGCTGGAAGAGGCTAATCAGTCCACCTGCAGTGGGTCCATGCACTACAACGGCTTTGCCAGTCCCAGTGTACAAGTGACACTTTTTGAAACTTGGACCCCTAGCTTGTCTATTTTATTTGCACAGCAAGCTCCACGTTCCCGAGAAGGCAGGTCCCTTGGCCTTCCCTAGGTGGGGCCTGTGAGGACTCTGCAGGAGTCATGGCCACGGAGCCCGGGTCCATCAACCCTGGGCATGGTGTCCATTGCAGGTTAGATTCCTATCCATCTACAGTTAGGGTAGTCAGCACTGGTGGGCAGGTGGTGCCCACAGCTGCTTGCTCCCCAGTTAGCCCATGTCCGTCCCCACACCTGCTTTTGGAGAGCTGCATAGTCAGTATCTCAAGGCAGACAAGGCATAAACACAATGACAGGGTAGGATAGTAGCATTTTCCCACCTGGAAAAGAATATCCTCGGACTCAAATCCATAAGTGTTTGGGAAAGAGATGTGTCCCTCACATCTTCCTGCTGCCTCACTCTGTAAGGGCCCCATGGACAGTCTGGCACTGGGGTACAATATGGCATTGTTCAGTGTCACCCAGATGTCCTCCTGCCTTCTTGAAGTCTACTCTAGGGGCTCTGAGCACCTCTGCTTGCGTCTCAAGCTCCAGGTGGCTAAATTGTCAGGTGGAGAAACAAAGGCACAAAGTGGTAGTTGCCACAATGGGGAAGGTGTTGGATTTCCAAGGTATTAGCCCCCATCAGTGCCACCCATGGGAGAGAGAGCCAGCAGGGATCAGTATCCTTATGGGCCAGAGTGTAGCCTCATGAAATCTTAGTCAACCCAGACACTAAGTGGCTTTGAGGTACAGATGGAGAAAGGGGGCCTCATCTGTCTTGGGTTGAAGGCCAGACTCTCGCACGCCTGGAACTTACAGGAGGGTTGGTAGTTATCACGTGACTGGAGTGAGGCCTGTTTGAGAAACCTCAGGTCACGGTGTGGTCTTGTCCTTATTGCCACCTTTGTTTCTTTAGAAAATGCCCCAGACTATTTACTTGCTGAACATGTGACCAGACAAACCACCCTTAATGTGGGCCCCTCAGCTTCCCACGCTCCAGCAAGCAGCCTCCTGAAGAGTGAAGCACTGATGGCCGGGCAGCTTCTCTGACCCCTCATGATCTGGGGAACGTGTCCAGCTCTGCAATTTTCACTTTTAACCAATTCAGTATGTCTAATTTTCACTCCCAAAACATTTTCCTCCAGAGCACTAACCATCAACCTATTTCTGCCATTGTGGTTGTGATGTCCAAGGGCAAAATAAGAGTCTCATGCTCTACCGACTGAGCTAGCCGGGCGCCTTCCAAGGGCAAAATAACCCACCAAAGATGGTTGGCAGCAGCATCCTGAAAAGAACCACATCCAGTTGCTCTGAAGTGTCCTTGGCTGAAAACGTGTAGAGAGACTTGGTTAAATGCTTCCTGATTCTTTGTAGTTCCGAGCCATGTTATTTCAAACCACTGGTGCCCCCAGCCACATGCTTGTTAGAAATTTGCAAAAATGACAGAAAAGCAACAGCTGGTCAAGGGAGAGTTGGTGAGAACCATTTCACTAAATAGACTCAAATTTCTAGAACTTTTTTTTTTTAAGAGGGAGAGAGGGGAGGGCCAGAGGGAGAGAGAGAGAGTCTTAAGCAGGCTCCACACCCAGCACAGAGCCCCACGCGGGGCTCAGTCTCACAAACCTGAGATCATGACCTGAGTCAAAATCAGGAGTCAGATGCTTAACCAGCTGAGCCACCCAGGTGCCCCTGTGCTTTTCCCGTTCTATATTCCTACCCACCAGATGGGCCTTCTCTCCCTGATGCCTCCGTATATGTTTGCTGCACATCAGAGTCACCCCTCCCACTCTACATGTTTTAGCTGTCTCCTGCTAAGCAAGCCCTCACCCAGATGGGACTGTTCTGAGCTACTTGTGTATCCGTGAAGATTGCAGACGAAACGTTCAGTTTTATTTCACCTAAATGGCATCTTGAATCATACACTGTGTCTTCCCAGTAAGCCATACAAAGAGCTCAGAAAGAGCCACTGTGGTAGGCAGAACAACACCCCTCTCCTTCCCCAAAAGATGTGCGTGTCCTAGCCTTTAGAACCTGTGGATGCGTTATTTCACACAGCAAAAGGGACTAGGAGCGATGATAATGGATCTTGATGTGGGAAATTATCCTGGATTATTTATGTTGGGCCCAGTGTAATCACAGTGTCTTTGTATAGTGGTAGGAGGGGCAGAGTCTGATGTTTCACTGCTGGCTCTGAAGATGGAAGACAGGGCCATGCGACAAGGAAACTAGGTGGCATCTAGAAGCTGGAAAAGGCAAGCAAACAGATCCTGCCTTTGAGTCTCCAGAAGGAAGCAACACTGCTGAAACCTTGCTTTAGGACTTCTGTCCAGACCTGTGAGCTAATAAATTTGCAATGCTTTAAGCCATTAAATTTGTGGCAGTTTGTTACAGCAGCAATAGAAGACTAACAACCACAGTGGAATTTGGAAATAGTAATAGTAGGCATCAGGCCTTCTTGGTGTTGGTTGTTGCTGGAATGATCAGGGCCCCCAAGTTCAGCTGTTTACATTCACATTTATCATACCCATTTTGTAGGTGAGCCTGCCAGACCTGAGAGAAACAGTGTTGCTTGGTTAAAGTGGGGAGGGGCAGACCTGTTGTCCAGCCCTGCTGTCAGATGAGCCCCACCTCACACCTCCCAGAAGACCTGGCTGATGGCAGGTGAATAGGGTTGGGCCAGGTCAAGACAGGGAGTCAGAAGGGCATGCTGCCAGGAAGCTGGTGGTTCCTGGAGATGTGATTCTGGGGAGTGGGCAGTTGAGCAGTTGGGATATGTCTTGCTAAAAGGGAGGGGCTGCTGAGGTCCCAAGCCAAGGATGATGGTGCTCCAGCAACTGGTAAAGAGGAGGGATAATGCTCTCTGGGGCCTCAGTGACATTCTAGACCTTGGCAGGTGTCAGGAGTCAGAGCAGGGGGCTCCAGGGTTCTCACTGCCTGATGTCATTCCTTGTCTTCTTGCCCTGGGCTACGGAAAGCTGGGGGCAAACCCATCAGTCCTGGCGTCATTATTCTTGGGCAGCTCTCCCCTCTGCCCTCCTGGGAACTGCCAACCTCGATTTCTCCTCTGCTCTTCCAGATCCTACAGCCAGGACACTGTGTTGGGGGCTGGCCCCAGGATGGAGGCTCGGGCCCAGAACTCCAGGCAGGGAGGCATCCCCAAGGCAGATCTCCAGGGAGCCGACAGGGGCCAGGAGGAGAGGCCCGAGATGGAGCTAAGGCCCCTGGCGGAGGACCCAGCTAAGAGACGCCCCTCTCGGGAGGGAGACCTACATGGAGGGACAGCAGGCAGTAAGATGGCTCCCCAAGGCAGGGGCTCCTGGAGCTGGGGCCTTGGTGTGAGCCCCAGTCCGGGGACCCGCCTGAGTGCAGGAGCAGGACCGCTGGTACAAGAGCCATGTGGCCCCACCTCCTCTCAGGACCCTGACCTAGTCACTCCCCGGGGGCCACATGCTGGGGAGGGCCCCTGTTGGTGCCCAGTCGGTACCAGGGCCTCCAGCCACAACTGCTGCCTGATGCAGCATCTCAGAACACCCCCTGAGGAAAAGTCCCTGGTGTGTGATCACTGTGGAGGCCAGGTGTTGCGCTGGTGCTGCCCCGGGACGCAGCTGTCCGAGATCCACACAGAGGATGGGTCACATGAACGGCGCTCAGGCACCCAGACCTTCCCAAAGACCCTGCAAGTGACCGTCCTTCAGCAGAACCCCTTGGAGGACTGCAGTTGCATTGAGGACTTTACCCGGAGGGCCCGGCTGGCCTCGCAGGAAATGATGCAGATGGCAAAGGAGCCCCTCCTGTGTGCGCGGTGTGGAAAGCGCTTTGGCTCCAACAAGCAGCTGCAGATGGCTGAGGGCCCCTTAATGTGTCTTCAGTGTGGTCGGGCCTCAGGTCCTGGCTGCAGTGCCCCTGACCCCCCGGCCCAGCGGCTCTACGTCTGTGACCAGTGCGGCAAGGCCTTCACGCGCACCTCGAGCCTGCTGCAGCACGAGCGCATCCACACCGGTGAGCGACCCTATGAGTGCGCTGAGTGTGGCAAGGCCTTTGTGCGCTGCTCCGGCCTCTACCGCCACCAGAAGACACACTCAGCCGAGCGCCACCGCCGCAGCCTGGCCCTGGCCCGGAGGTCCTTCCTCTTGGGGTGCCCGCCCTGTGGGGACTGTGGCGAGGGGACCCAGGGGCCTCCACGGGTGCCCGTTGCCGGGGAGAAGCCATACGAGTGCGCCGAGTGCACCAAGGCCTTTGCCCTGTTCTCGCACCTCGTGGAGCACCGGCGCGTGCACACGGGTGAGAAGCCCTACGCGTGCCCGGAGTGTGGCAAGGCCTTCAACCAGCGCTCGAACCTGAGTCGGCATCAGCGCACGCACAGCAGCGCCAAGCCCTACGCCTGCCCGCTGTGCGAGAAAGCCTTCAAGGGCCGCTCGGGCCTGGTGCAGCACCAGCGCGCGCACACCGGCGAACGGCCCTACGGCTGTCCCGAGTGCGGCAAGACCTTTCGCGGGTGCTCCGAGCTGCGCCAGCACGAGCGCCTGCACTCGGGCGAGAAGCCCTACATCTGCCGAGACTGCGGCAAGGCCTTCGTGCGCAACTGCAGTCTGGTCCGCCACCGGCGCACGCACACGGGCGAGCGGCCCTACGCGTGCGCCGAGTGCGGCCGCGCCTTCAGCCAGCGCTCCAACCTCAACGAGCATCGCAAGCGGCACGCGGGCCGCGCGGCCTCGTGACCGCGCGCGCCTCTGGAAGCCTGCAAAAACGGTTGTAGTCTTTCTTAAACCTCACTTGGTACTGCGTCCGCAGGCTTCCCCGACTCGTTTTATTTGACCCTTTCAAGTGGGCACATGGTAATGGGTTCTGGCGAAGTGCTAATAAACACAGGAATGAAGCGCTCATGTGACCCAGCTGCTTCGTGGGCTATCGGAAGCCTTGCTCCGCCTCCCTCGGTGGGCTGGAAAGTGGGGAGCGGGGGTGGGGGGAGTGACTCCCCGGGAGCACAGGCAGAAAATGGTGGAAGTAACGTTTGAACCCAGGACCTCTCATTGCACCTTCCTAGGGGGCTTCATTAGCCCTTGGTACCCTCTGGGTGTTTGCACGCCCATTAGCGTAGCTTGGCCCCGCCTCCTCCCTTCGGTCTTGGAGATATCTCCTCTGGCCTCCTTGGACCTCAGGAGAGGGGCTCGGCATACCCTGTGACCCTCCCGGGGCCGATGGCCACGGGCTTCATGGGCAGAGCCTCTGCCTGCCCTTCCCCCGCGTGGCTCCTAGTCACTATGCAGAGGGCTCCCCTTGGAAGGAGGAGTGATTCCCTGGCAGCCTTCGTCTGGTTTGTGCTTGGCAGATGGGGACCTCATCATGTTATGTCTAAGCAAGGTGGTCCAGCCAGAGCTCCTCTTCTGTCAGAGGACTCCAGGCTGGATGTCATCTCCTGCTGCATGGGAGGAATCAAGGAGTGAGACCCAAATGTGCGGCCATAATTCCCTGTGACCACCACATAGGTGGGAGTCCACCAGAGGCCTGGAGCAAGCAGCATGATTCTTTCATAGCAGTATGTATAGTTATGTATGTATATGATTCCAATTTCCTCCCCACTCCATCCTCCACACCAGTTCCAAAGTGACACGGCTCTGCACTTTGGGTGCGCTTACTACATGCCAGGCACCGTGCTGGGCACTCTACCCTTAATCACCCCCTTTGATCCTTGCCCTAACTAGGAGAAGAGGGACAACTCTGGCCCCATATCAAAGAGCCCCACAGAGGCCTTGTGGCCCAGCCAGAGCCACCCGGAGGGAGGGCAGAGCCCGGCTCATCATTGAGTCCAGGGATGGGCCTCATATACTTCCAAAGGGTTCCCAGGTATGGCCTTTTGATCCGGCAGCGAATTCCCTGCAAATCACCCTTCACTTTGTGTCTCCCATTCAGGAGCTCCTGTCCACCTTGGGAAGGGCAAGATGCACAGGCCCCGTGGGGTAAGGAAGCTTTTGGCTCTCCATTCCCAGACACAGCTTGCAGGGCACTATTACAGCTAGGGCTGGGCACTTTACGTCTGCTGCACCTGCAATGCTAGAGATACTGTGGAGATGGGTGCCATCCCACATCCCAGATGTAGGAGGGATGGGCCCTGCATCTGCTTCATCTGCCCTTGCCTCCCCGGGCAAGGAGTTGAGTGGCTACTGGTAAGGCTAGGAGTATAGGAGCCTCTGAGCCCAGTCAAAACCAGGGACTTCATGGTGGGGAGAACTCTTGAGTGTGTAAGGGGTATGAGGAGGCCCTTGGGAGAGTTCAATCCAAATATGATGGACTATACCGGACCCTGAGTGCTGCCAAGATGAACCTCAATATATAGGGCACATTGTGGGTCCTATGGTACAGATGGACTAAAGTGCCCCATAATCCCCTTTTCTCTTCCTGCATCCACAAACCTACATTTCTCAGGCTTCCTGCAGTTACACAGAGCCATGCAATTGAGTTCTGGCTACTGGAATATGGACAGAAGTGATGGATAATATAAAATGGCCTACATCATCTTTTTTGCTTGTTTCATCAGCCAGCTGGACAGAGGAGATTCAGCAGAAAGTTCTGAGGAGGACATAAGGTAAGGAATAGCAAAGACCCAAGATAGAAGGAGCCTGGGTCCCTGAATCAAGGACAGCCTTCTGGGAGGGTCACTTGACCACTTCACACTGTGACATGAGCAAAAAAGACATCTGTATTGTGTTGATCCATTGAGATCCTGGGATTGTTTGTTACTGCAGTTATAGTTACCTGCTGTTAAAGGATACATCTTTTTTTTTTTTTTTAAGATTGATGATTTATTTTAGAGCAAGCGTGGGGGCAGGGGAAGCGGGGGGGGGCGGGGGGGAAGAAACTCAAACAGATTCATGCTGAGCAAAGAGCCCGATGTGGGGCTTGATCCCAGAACCCTGCTGAAACCGTGTCAGACACTTAACTGTCTGAGCCACCCAGGTGCCCCAGGATACATCTTTTTTTAAAAACTAAAATCGTGACTCCATGCAAATATAAAATGAACATGTGTCAAAGATTTTTTTTATTAGTAAGATGTTACAACCAGTTTTTTGAAGATGGAAGAAGGGACCATAAGCAAGGAATACAAAGAATGCAGTTATAGATGCTGAAAAAGGCAAAGATACGGATTCTCCCCTAGGACCTCCAGAAGGACATCAGCCCTGCTGACACTTTAATTTCAGCTCAGTGATACTGATTTCAGACTTCTGGCACCCAGAACTGTGAAAGAATACATTTCCGTTTTAAGCCGTAAGTTTGTGGTAATTTGTTACAGGAGCTATAAAGAACTAATACACTGTCCTTCGTTCTGCTTCTCATATGGGCTCCATTGTCTACAAGTTCTCCCTTTATGGGGACAAAAAGGCTGCAGCTGTACTAGCTGATAGCTGTTCACGGTTTAAAGTTCCATAGAAAATAGAAGCCCTAATAGTCAGAAAGAACTTCCTGCCCTGTGAAACCCATAGGTCGAAGTTCCTCATTATCCATCCTGAATCAATCATCAGGGCCAAGGGGAATGGAATGTGGTATGCCTGAGTCCCGCATCCACACTTGTCCAAACCCCCTGGATTGAGAGTGGGGGCAACTGAGAAACTTCTGTACAGCAAATAGCGATTCCAGCTTGGACGCGTTGTCCCCAAGGAAGGGCCGCTGGGCCAGCGCGTAGGTATGTGAGATGCGCCACTCCCTCCCTGCGAGGCCCCTACTGGACAAGGTGCATGGGGTTGTAAAGAGGACTTGGTGGCCAGAGAATGGACAGGGGTGAGGAGTGTGCATCCTTCTGGCTGCAGAACAGTTCCAGATCTGCTTCCTGTGTCCAGGATCCTGCCGACCTTGAGCTTCGTGTGTGTGTGTGTGTGTGTGTGTCCCCGTCCCTCTGGGTGTGTAAATGAGGCAGGGGAGGGGCTAGGGAAAAGGGCGGCGCGTATCCATGGCAACGGAGGACGCTACAGCGATCCAGGGGCCCCAGGACCATCCCTACAGGAACCGGAAGGGCGCGGGCCTGCGACTGGGGACGAACTACGCAGCTGCGCAGACGCAGTGGGGAGTACCGCCAGGCGCAAGGTCGCGCCAGGGGACGCGACAGCACGTCCGTGGACGCCCTGCGCCCACCCCCACGCAGTTCTCCGCGGCCGAGCCCGGATGCTGACCGGGCGCTGTCCTAGCCCGGCCGCGCCAGGGGGACGCCGGGGCGGGCCGAGGGCGGTGAGTGAGGCGAGCGGCAGCCGTCCGGCCCGGCTCTTAACGAGAGCCCGCGGCTCCCACCGCAAGGCCGCGCAGGCGGGGCGCGGGCCGGGGCTGGGCGCGCTCTGGGACCACCGAGAGCGAGGCCTCCGCGCCGCCCAGAGGGCCCCGGAAGTGGCTCTGCCGACTAGGGTCGGGGCGGAAGCGCGGTCGCGGTCGCGTCGGTGGGCGTGCGCCGCCCCCCGGCGTCGCCGGGGTTGGCTCGTCCGCCCCGTGTGCTTCGCGGCTCGCTCTTCCGTTCCGTGGGCCTGCTCGGTCATTTACTTCCGTAGCATCCCTTCCTCCTGCTCGTTCGTTCCTTCACGTGTTGATTCACCCCCCTGCTTTCTGACGCGGCCACATCCGTCCCCGATTTGTCGTCCACGCGTTCACTCATTCATTCGTTCGTTGCTCCTCCTGCTCTGCAGCCCCGCCCTTCGTTCCCTGGGCCGCGCCGGCCTGCCTTCCTCCGTCCGTTCTTCATTCAGTCGGGCGCCCTCCCGGCGCTGCTTCAGGGCCAGGCAGGTTCCCGCTTCCGAGCCTTTGCGTGTGCCCTCCGCCCTCGCTCGCCCGGGGTGCTCCGAGCCCAGCGCTTCCTGAGGCCACAGCCCCCGCTGGGCGTCTCCTGCGCCGCGTCCCTCCCCGTCGCAGTATTTTTCCATCCGGCGCCCAATAGGTGAGAGCCCAGGCCTCGGGGCTGGGGAGAGACACAGTCGCTTGTGACCGGTCGGGTATGAGGACCAGTTGTTGGCGTGGGAGACGGGGCCTGACTGGGAAGGTGGCCACAAACCTCGGTGAGTAGGCATTCCGCGGGGAGAAGCGGAGGGCAAGGCCCTCAGGCCGGAGAAGGGGCACACGGTCTGTGTGCGGACGGCGGGGAGGCCGGAGCCGCGAAGGCAGTCGGGAGCGACCGTCAGGGCTCTGGCTCCTGTGCCGAGATGGGCCGACTCCGAGCAGGGAGACCCAGTTCGAGGGGACAGCGGGCTGGGCAGCTCCGAAGCGTGGGTCTTGGCTGGAGGGATATCCCCGCCAGGCTCCATCCTCAGAAACATGGGACTCCTGAAGGTGGTCTTCTGATCTTTCGAGAAACCAAACGGGGGGCGCCTGGGGGGCTCAGTCGTTGGGCGTCTGCCTTCGGCTCAGGTCACGGTCCCGGGGTCCTGGGATCGAGCCCCGCGTCGGGCTCCCTGCTCCGCGGGAAGCCCGCTTCTCCCTCTGCCACTCCCCCTGCTTGTGTTCCCGCTCTCGCTGTGTCTCCCTCTGTTAAATAAATAAGATCTTCAAAAAAAAGAAAGAAGCAAATAAGGATTTTTATTGAATTTTTTTGACTTGTAAAAAAAACTTTTTTGAGATAATTATAACCACATCTGTAAGAAATAATGCAAGTAGCTCCCATGTACCCTTTACCCAGCTTTGTCCAGTGGTAGCATTTTGCAGAACTACAGTGTGATAAGCAAGATACTCAAACGGGAGTCAATCCACAGCCTGCGATTCCTCCTGTGGCCCCTTTAGCCACACCTACTTCCCTCCGGCCTCCACCCCCTCCCTAACCCTTGGTTTTCTGTTTTCTATTTCTACAATTTTGTCATTTCAAGAATGTTACATACATGGAATCATACAATAAGTAATCTTTTGAAATTAGCTGATGACTTTTTTTTAATTAACCCTTTTAATGTGTACAGTCACTGTTTTTTTAGTAAATTCACATTTTGTGCAACCATCACCACAGTCTAATTCCAGGACACTTTCATCACCCTGAAAGAAACTCCATCCCATTAATCAAACTCCCCATTCCTTCTTCCCCGGCTCCTGGCAGCCACTAATCTACTTCCTGTTTCTTACGGATTTGCCTACCCTGGACATTTCAGATAAATAGACTCACACAACGTGAAGTCTTTTGTGTCTTGAGTCTTTCATTTAGCATAGTGTTTTCAAGGTTCATGTATCTTATAGGATGTACCTGTGTTTCATTCCTTTTTATGGCAGAATAATGTTTGATTGTACGTATATCCACCACATTTTGTTTATCCATTCATCAGTTGATGGACATTGGCCTATTATCACTTTCTGGCTATTATGTTAATTATATATTATACATATATATGTATTATATATATTATAGTAATACTGCTATGACATTCATGTGCAAACTTTTGCATGGATACTTTTTTTTTTCTCCTCAACTTCTTGATATATTTAAAACTGACCAGGAGAAAGAAAGGAAGAGAGAAAAAGAAATGGGGGAAAGCTCAAATTCTCCTTAGCAACAGTTTCCTCACCCCTAGTACCGGCACAGATCTGTATTTTTAAAAAATTTGAAAATACACACAAGATTAAGGAGGAAAAAAAATGGAAAAAGGATACCCCATGGTAGGTTGTGTAGTTCTTTGTTTTCCTTTGTGTGCAAAAAAGCTGCCTGGACACATTTTCATTTTGTTGTGGGGGGGGCGGGGTGGTAGATATAACCTAAGAGTAGAATTCCTGGGTCACTTGGGAACTCTGTCTTTAACTATTTAAGGAACTGCCAGAGTGTTTTCCACATAGGCCACACCATTTTACATTTCCACCAGCATCTGATAACTTTTTAACATTGGAAACTCATTTAAATTTTTATTTTATTTATTTTTTTGAAGATTTTATTTATTTATTTGACAGAGACACAGCTAGAGCAGGAACACAAGCAGAGGGAGTGGGAGAGGGAGAAGCAGGCTTCCCGTCGAGCAGGGAGCCCGATGCGGGGCTCGATCCCAGGACGCCGGGATCATGACCGGAGCCAAAGGCAGACGCTTAACAACTGAGCCACCCAGGCGCCCCTCGTTTAAATTTTTAAAAAAGCATGTTGGAAGGGGGCAGTCAAGATCTGTCTGCTAGCCAAATCTGGCTGTCCAGTTTGCAGACTTTAGTGTTCTGTGTGGGGCATGAATGGAGCCAAGTAGTTGGAAGAAGCCAGGGCAGAGGCCCCTTAGAAAAGCAGGGAGGGAGGAGGGACCACAGACTGGGCACCTCCGTATATCTCTCCAACACATGGACACACAGGTGGGGACACTTCTGGACTCACTGATAGATACAATCACCCAGACCCGCAGCCCCCACTTATTCTCAGAGGGTCCTCGGGAGGGGCCTTCATGGCCTGGCTGTGCTCACAGGCTCCCCTTTGTGTCTCCAGGTCCAGAGGAAGTGCCTGGGGACATGCGGCTACCCTGCCTGGGAAGGGGCATGATGGCTGCCCAGATGAGCAAGGCATCAACTCTGGCCCCTGGGGTCCTTTAGAGCACACCAGTCCCAGTGGTGGGTGAGGCCAGCTCTGAGACCCCTGGCCAGCGCTTCTGGGGGTTCTACTACGAGGAGGAAGAGGGTCCCCGTGAGGCCCTGGCCCGGCTCCGGGAGCTGTGCCGCCAGTGGCTGCGGCCCAAGGTGCACTCCAAGGAGCAGATGCTGGAGCTGCTGGTGCTGGAGCAGTTCCTGGCGCGCTGCCCCGAGATCCAGGCCCGTGTAGAGGGACAGCGGCCAGGCAGCCCTGAGGAGGCCGCTGCCCTGGTCGAGGGGCTGCGCCAGGAGCTGGCCAGGCCAGAACTCCAGGTGAGGGCCAGCTGGGTCAGGGCTGGGCCTGCTTCCCCCTGAGCCTGGCTTACAGTCCCTAGCTAGTGCTGGTGGAGCGGGGGCGCTGTGGGAGAAGGGTGGTGGGAGCTTGGTGGTCTTGGCTCAGACACCAGAGTTAGAGTGATGCCCCCAAGTTCACACCTGGGTTTGTTCTCAGCGCTGTGCTCAGGTCCTCAGAACGTAGGGAGCTGGGGGACACCAAGCAGAATAGAGCCATTGCGTGTGCCTTGTTTTCTCTGCATCTGTCTGGCCCAACCCTCTGCCTATCTTCCTGTCCCCAGGTCCCAGCCCCCAGTCCCCAAGAGGTGCTGGTCCCCAAGACAGAGGAGGGAGGGGAGCAGGAGGCTCCCCAAGGCCCTTTCCAAGCCCTAGTTCCAGGTGCAGCGCCTATCCATGCACTTGCTTCTACCTCATCCTGGCAGCTGACCTAGGCAGCCTGGGGATGATGGGCGCCCCTGGGTTTTGCCTCACTCTGGAGTGGGTGGATTGGGGGCCCTGGGCTCTTTGACAATTCCAGTGTATTCAGAATGAGAGCACCAACTGGGCTACGGACTCCACAAAGGACAATAAGGTGGTCAGGGGCAAGTGGGGATGGGCTTTGCTTGCTGTAGAGACATTGCTGGAAGAAGGAGCAGCTGAAGGTGCAAGTGTGGCCTCAGGGCCAATGAAGCCCCTCTACCCTCCTGCCCTCAGCTCTCCCCCAGGGATCTGGCTGCACAGCCACCCCACCTGTGGGTTTAGGCAGCTGGACCAGCCTGGTTGGACTGAGGCAGAGGCCTGATGTGGCCTAACATTGCCTGGCAGCCACTGGGATTCCTCCATCTCTGGCCAGGCTGCCTATTGAATGGAGGGGACTGCTAGGGGTCAGGGCAGTGGTGAGGTGGGCAAGGAAGACAGACTCAGCCAGGGCTTGGGTCAGGCGGTCACCACAAGCCTTCTGGAGTGGAGATAGTTCATTTCTAGTGTTTCTACAAGTGACCAGGTCCATTTTCATCCTCCTAAACAGGTGGTCCTCACTTCTCTGGTGCTTTATGACCCCAAGGGGGAGCAAGGAGATAAAAGCCAAGTCCTGGAGCTGCTTTGTGCAGAGTTGGAGATCAAGGCCCTGTGGGAGGCTACTGCAGATAAGGCAGGTGGCTTTTGAATCTTTCCACAATCCTGGCACCCACACTCACACCTCCCAGCACCCTGCTGCCCAGTCAGGTGCAGGGATGTGTGGGAAGTGACGCCATAGAGGCAGGCACAGTGGTCTCCTAGCACGTCCCCATCATAGGCTGGGTCGTCCAAGCTCAACAAGGCCACAGTTTGACTCAGAGTTGGCCTGGGATGCTGCCTCTATGGGGAAAGTTAGAGCATCTCTAGGCCCACCTGCCCTGTTTCCCTGTTCCAGGCTGAAGAGGGGCCAGGGGCACCAGCTCAGGAAAGGTGGGCGTGATGGCCATGCCCCAATACAGCCAGCCCCAAGCTTTGCCCCTGCTCTAGATCTGTCAAAATCACATCATTCCTGAGACCCACTGGTCCCCTCTACCCCATTTCCCAAAGTTCTTTGAGCTCTCAGGCATTTGCTTTCTCTCTCTCCCCATTTCAGAGGACAGAAGCAAGGTCCAGTCCCCAGGACAGTGGGCCCAGCAGGTGGCTCTAGTGAAGGCGACACTCCCTGGATTGTGCTGAAGACTGACACAACAGACCCCTCTGAGGGGGCTGCATCTGGAGGCCTGGGGGCCTGGGAAGACCCCACAGAGGCAGAGGACCAGGGGGCCTCCAGAGGGGAGCTGGAGCCTACAGACGGTGGGAGAGACTGGGTGGGGCGCAGAAGCATCTGAGAAGACCTGGTGCCAAGCCCCTTGCCTCTCCCCAGGGAGCCGGCCTGCCAGTGCAGTGAGTGTGGCAAGGCGTTCAGCCAGAGTTCCTACCTGGTGCAGCACAGGCGAGTGCACACGGGCGAGAAGCCATACACGTGCACCGAGTGCGGCAAGGCCTTCACCTGGAGCTCCAGCCTCAGCCAGCACCAGCGCATCCACACAGGCGAGAGGCCCTACGTGTGCCGGGAGTGTGGCAAGGCTTTGCGCGCGCGCTCGCAGCTCATCCACCACCAGAAGACGCACAGTGCCGTGAAGCCCTTCCGCTGCCCAGACTGTGGCAAGGCCTTTGGCCGCAGCACTACACTGGTGCAGCATCGGCGCACAGACACGGGTGAGAAGCCCTATGAATGCTCCGAGTGCGGCAAAGCCTTCAACTGGAGCTCCAACTTCCTGGAGCACCGGCGTGTGCACACGGGTGCACGGCCCCACACCTGCTCTGCCTGCGGCAAGGCCTTCAGCCAGAGCTCCAATCTGGCGGAGCACCTGAAGATCCACGCGGGCACACGGCCGCACGCATGCTCCGATTGTGGCAAGGCCTTCCTGCGCGTGGCGGGCCTGAGGCAGCACCGGCACACACACAGCGGCGAGAGGCCCTTTGCCTGCGCGCAGTGTGGCAAGAGCTTCCGCGAGAGCTCGCAGCTGCTGCAGCACCAGCGTAGGCACACGGGCGAGAAGCCCTTCGAGGGTGCTGAGTGCGGCCAGGCCTTCATCATGGGCTCCAGTCCGGCCGAGCACCAGCGCGTACACAGCGGCGAGAAGCCCCACGTGTGCTCCCAGTGTGGCAAGGCCTTCAGCCAGCGCTCCAACCCGCTCAGCCACAAGCGCATCCACTCTGGTGCCAAGCCCTATGCCTGTGCCGACTGCCGCAAAGCCTTCAAGGGCAGCTCGGGCCTGGCACACCACCGGCGAGCGGCCCTACGCCTGCCGCGACTGTGGCAAAGCCTTCCGCGGCAGTTCGGAGCTGCGCCAGCGCCAGCGCGTGTACTCCGGGGAGAAGCCGTTCGTCTGCGCCGATTGCGGCAAGGCTTTTGTGCGCAACTCCGAGCTCGTGAGCCACCGGCGCACGCACACGGGCGAGCGGCCCTATGTGTGTAGTGTGGGCAGCAAGCCCTTCAGCCACCGCTCCAACCTCAATGAACACCAGAAGCGACACACGGGCGGTGCCGCGCCCCGACTCTGGGATGCCCCTGGGAGATGGTGAGGCTGCGCCCCTCGGTGGCGCGCGAGGCATAGGACGTGGCCATCGTGCATCGGCGTGAGCAGCGTCGTGTACAATAGCCACCCCCAGGCCCTCCCCCCTCCCCCCATGTGGGCTGCATGTGCTGGAGCACAGGGCAGCCACAATTGGGGCCGAGGATTAAGCCGTTAAAACAGCCCCTGGGGCGATGGGAGTCTCACCTGGTGGCCCCTGGGGCCTGGCTGCGGATGCATGGCGGGGAGGTGATTCACAGGGTAAAGGCAGTGAATTTTGGTGCTGGGAGGGGTGCATCCGTGCAGAGACTGGAGGCTGCCACCGGCGTGGGGGGTCCCCAGGAACGAGGGCTAGCTGAGTCCCCTCCCCTGCTTCCCCTCCAGCTCAGCCGGGTCTGAGGTTGCACAGATTTTTTGTTTCAAGCCAAGGGCCAGAAGGTCAGAGGCCTTGCTCTGGGACCCTGGTGAGCAGCAGGAGGCCTAGGGCAAAGGGCAAGAGTGGGGGTGGTCCTGCCAACTTCTCCTCCCAGGGGCTTCCCCCCACGTACCCCTCCCTCCTGTTCTCTCCACAGTGGTGGCATCCAAGGCACTACCCTCCCAGAGGGGTGAGCACCAGCTCCATCTAGCACCCTCAGCAGACCCTCTCTGGAAGGTGGTGTGTCTGTGTTTCCTCTCTGCAATGTGGTGGGGGACATGCTCCGTCTGCACAGGACTGCTTCTCTGGCCTGGCCACCACCACCCTTCTCGCTTCCCATGCCAGGGTTGTCCGGGCCTGCCCCACTGTGTGCTCTGGGGTCTCCCCTGGTGTCTGCGGGTTTGACGGTCTTCCCGCCTCCACCACCATTTTAGGGAGCCTCCTTCTGCCCTCAGCTGCCACTGGATGTGCAGTGCTTCCTTCTGCTCCTGGGTCTGGGATCAGCAGGGAGAGGGCATGCATGGAGCTACAACCCTGATTAGTGAAACCTTTGTAGCTTGCAAAGTTCCTTCTCACCTTGTCTCCAGAGTGGAGCCCCAGAGGGGACCAGATAGACCTGAGGACTCGCAGCTGATGAGGACCCTGTTTGGCTGTCTGCCAGGGTAGCAATGTCTGTCACAAAGGTCACTGAGCGTCCGTATCCAGTGCTTTGCAGGGACTCCTCCACCTGCACCCTGAGTGCTGAGTTGGGAGGCTTCAAGCTGGGCCCCGGTGAGGGGAGAAGAGGCTGGAACAGAGAGCCCAAACCTGACCACTAGCATCTCCCTGCGACAGGGCGGGAGGAGCGTCTGGCCCACTTGATGGGTGGGAGGTGAGCCAGAAGGGGGCTGTCTCAGGTAACAGGCAGGCCGATAAATCACCCTCCCTCAGGATTTTGAGGGAATTGATTAGTTAGCTTTGTAAGGCTGAAGGAACACAAGTGAATACTGAAAACCCAGAGATGGATAACCATCGAGCACTTACTACCTCTAGGGCTGGGGTGCAAAAGAGAAGGGGTGGATTTACCAGGGCCTAGGGGCTGGGGGAGGGGCTTGGGCCTCCGAGAAGCCTGGACCACGACTATTGCTGGAACTTTGAGGGTGCGCAGGAGAGACTGCTTTGAAACTAGCATTATATTCTGTTCTATCCAGTGGCATCATTGGATCTTCTGGGCAATAGGGCCCAAGGGCCAAAGCAGCCTGCTTTGTATCCAGGACCTGCTGCATGGGCCCCACACAAAACTGCTGTTGAAAACAGATTGGAGCAGCACACTGAGGTATATGTGTTGAGTCCAGGGTGCAGAGGCCTCCTGTATTGTATTTTTATTTTTTAAAGATTTTATTTATTTATTTGAGAGAGAACACACGGCAGGAGAGGGAGACACAGACTCGCCGCTGAGCCGGGACAGGGCTCGATCCCACAACACTAGGATTACGACCTGGGCCAAAGGCAGCTGCTTAACCCACTGAGCCACCCAGGCATCCCATGCAACTCTTGATGTTAGGGTTGTGAGCTCAAGCCCCACGTTGGGTATATAGATTACTTAAAAGTAAAAATAGGGGCGCCTGGGTGGCTCAGTGGGTTAAGCAACTGCCTTCGGCTCAGGTCATGATCCTGGAGTCCCGCGATCGAGTCCCGCATCGGGCTCCCTGCTTGGCGAGGGGCCTGCTTCTCCCTCTGACCCTCCTTGCTCTCATGTACTCTCTCTCTCTCTCATTCTCACTCTCTCAAAATAAATAAATAAATCTTTAAAAAAAAAAAAGTAAAAATAAAAGTCTTTTAAAAAAATTCTCTGTCACCTGTCTTTTCCTCTGGGTGCTTTGTAGCCCTCTGGAAGAAGAGCAGGCAGTGGGCTGGGCATTGGTTCTGGTACTTGTGCTTGGAGGAAGGGGTGTGGATTTAGGATTTCTAGAGTCTGCCTATTTCCTCCTTTTCCTCATTATTCTGACCATTGGGAAGGGGGTCAGGTGTCTTAAATTTTTGTTCATCTGTACCTCTTTGGACCATCAGTCTGGTCCCTTCCTATGATGCATCTTTATTATGGAGTAACATAAAAGTCTGAATGTAGGAAATTTTACCCCAGATCATGTGAACTTGAAAAGCATTTGGGTTACTTTTTATTCTTTTGAGTTTTAAAATGCACAATTTTCACAAGCACTTGCTTTTAAACCAATTAAATAGAGCTCCTCTACAAATCAGTTGTAGCAATACCATCCAGAGATAGAGAAAATACCTCACATTTATAACACACATAGATACATGTACACAAGATGCAAACAAAATTTAGCCTTTGTTTCACTATTATTTGTGCAGAGGACATTAAAGACCCAATTTCCAAATATCCCCTTTTTATTAAATCTAATTGTAAGATAGCATTATAATTTATGGATCCATTTATTAGTTATTTTCCATTTCCAGTTAGAACATGGCCGGTTGTGTGCAAAGATACCAAAAGCTGTAGCAACAAACAAACCAAATAAAGCCCAGAGTACCTCTGGGATTGCTGTTCTTCCCCAAAAGTTGGGGACTTCACTGACTCAACCAAATGGCTTCCGAGTTTCTGGTTACTTAGTCTTATAGTTGGCTTTCTTTAATTGTGCACACACAAAAAACTAATTCAGACATGTCAAAAGAACCCCGCTGGGGCCGTCTGAGACTCCAGTTATCCTTACCTTTTCCCATTGAAGTAAGCACTTGCAAGTATAGGCTCTGTATATATGTACAGATAGCCTGCCTGAATTTCCCATAAGGGTTTATTGGTTTTCTGGGTGGTGTTTTCGCTTTTGAAGCACAGTTCCCCATTCCTTTTAGTTTTGGTTTTATTTTTAGAGCAAGGCTTGAATAAGATCTAAGGATATTAAGAGTGGTGTATCGGGGGGGTGCTGCTTGTGAGCGTTACTTCTAAATGGCCGTAATACACTCTGTGTCTCGGTTTCTCCTTGTAAGGTCTAGGACCATTGAGGGGCTCAGAACACCGCATGATCAATCCTTATGTGTGCGTCCGTGGATGAGCCAATCATTAATCACCTTATGAGATGGGAAATTCCTGTGGGACTGCTGCATGTCTGAGGAATATCTTCAGACATTTCCGCTAGGCTTTCATTCACCTGAAAGCACCATTTAACTCGAAGGAGCAAGCGTCCCTTCTCTTTGGAGCTGAGTTATTCACTCTTTCATATCTCTATCGAGAAAATTTACTCAAGCCTTATATATTAATAACATCCATTAGTATAATGCCAAATTAAAACAACCAACCCATCAACTTCGCCCCCTCCCAGGTTGTTCCCACCTAAAGGATATTACCGGTAACCTTTAACAGTTCAAATAAAAATCAGGACTGTTCACTCAAATTGAAGAGGTCCAGATATCAGGACCTCACCAGATACACCTGTGAGGTGCTGAGGAGCTGGAGGGGCACAGAGGGCCCATGCTCGTGCCAAGCGCTGAGTTCTAGATGATCCCCAGGTGTTCTCAGGCAAGTTGCTCTGATATCCTGTTGACTATGCCAAGAAATGATGCAAAATGAACAAACCCTTTAAAAATTTTTAAAGAGAAAGGAAAAGAGTTTTATTCGAGCCCAAGTTAGGGCAGGTGTCCAGGACACAGTCTGCAGAAAGAAGAGAGTGCTCTGGGGAAGGAACATGTGGCTCCGGGATATATATGTTTTTTACAAAAAGACTTACGGGGCACCTGGGTGGCTCAGTCAGTTAAGTGTCTGCCTTTGGCTCAGGCCTGATCCCAGGGGCCTGGGATGGAGCCCAGAGTGCCCTCAGCGGGGAGCCTGCTTCTCCCTCTGCCTCTCCCCCACTGGTGTGTGCTCTCTCTCTCTCTCAATCTTTCTCTTAAATAAGTAAACAAAATCTTTTAAAAAATGAGTTACAAATCATCATGATGAAGGACATTCCTGAAAGTTTCAGACTTTATCTTATGTTTTTAGTTGTGCAAGTCTGTATGACTTTAAATCTTATGGGACCCAGGGAAGGTTTTTGTTTTTCTTATCTTTGCGTTTGGAATGCTCCTTTTTTGTTCTTGTTGTTTTAATGAAGCAGACAAACAGTGTGTGCTCGGGGCAGAAGTACAGCCCATGGCTTTGAGGTTTTGTGTGGTCATTTTGATCTTAGTAAATGTTCTCTGGGAGCCCTGGAGCAGGGCCGACAAACATTAAAAATTGAAAATTTCCCTGATCAGTTAGTATTTATTACATTATTTTAATTTAATTTTCATTTTAAAATTGTATTTCTCATATTTTAAGTCATTTCACTTGCTAATGTTGTTTGCTATTTTATTATATTATTTTTTAATTATCATTTTTATTATTTATTGCTTAGTTTATTAATTACACATAATTATTGATTATGGTTATTGATGAGGCTCCCAAAGGCCTTGGAGTTTTGCCCTTTGTCCCCATCCCCTGCAGGCCCCCCCTTCTGGGAAGGATAAATAATAGGGAAGAGGTCATTGCCCCTTGCTGCCCCTTTGCCGCCCTCGCCCTTGCTTGGGCTTTATCACCCCAGACACTCACCGACTGGAGCAAGGCTGGCCATCATGTCCATACTTGGGGCCTTCCTGATGCTCTGGGGTGAGGTTGCTGGGGCTGGAGTCCCTTGGGGGCGGGAGGGAGGAGGAGGCATAGGAATGGGGACCTCACAGGTGCCGTCTCTACAGGTCTCTCACTGGGCCCAGCAACCGAGGGAGCCATAGGTGAGTCTGGGTTGGGTCTTGGGGGAAGGTGGGCTTCTGCAGAGGTGAGCCCCTGTCCTGGGGCCCAGCATTGACCTCCACCTGCCACACAGTATTCGAGACCCGGCCGAACCTGTGGGCAGAGGCCGAATCGTTGCTGGAGCCCTGGGCCAACTTGACACTGACATGCCAGGCCCGCCTGATGACCCCGGATTTTGAGCTGTTCAAGGATGGGGTAACCCAGGAACTTGTGCACCTTGATTTACCTGCCATGGAGCACCAGTTCCCGCTAGGAGCAGTGACAAGTGACACCCGAGGCCTCTACCGCTGCCGCTCTGGCTTGAACAGCGGATGGACCCAGTTGAGCAACCTCCTGGAGGTGACTGGAGCAGGTGAGCAGGGGCTTTAACGGAGCCACGAGACAGTGGGGAGAGGGCTGCTGGAGAGGCCTGACTTCCTCCGTTCCTCCTCACTCTCCTGGTCCTATTTTTCTGACATGGGGGTGTGGGTGGCTGGGGTGGGGGGGGTCCCTGAGCAGCTAGGTGGCCTTTGGCAAGTCATTTGACATCTCTGATCCTGTTTCCTCATCTGTAAAATAAGGATGATGTTTGCACTGATCCCAGAAGGTTGTGAGGAATAAATGACTGAATCCCCAGAAGGTGCTTGGGAAAAGCCTAGCACATTCCCCTTAACATATCTTCTTCTTGTTTAATGCCCCTGTCCCCTCCTGTCCCTGCCCCCCTTTCCTTTATAATTGTCTTCCATTTCCCTGGCTCCCTCATATTTCCTTCCTTCCTTCCTTCCTTCCTTCCTTCTTTCTCTCTCTCTTTCTTTCTTTCAGATTTATTTATTTTAGAGAGAGAGAGAGCGCTGCGTGTGGGGGAGGAGCAGAGGGAGAGGGAGAGAGAATCCTTAAGCAGACTCCCCACTGAGCACAGAGCCCCCCCCCCCCCCCCGATCATGACCTGAGCCAAATCAGGAGTCCGAAGCTCAACTGACTGAGCCGCCCAGGCTCCGCTCCTTCCCATTTTCATGAGTGTGGAGATCGTAGTCTGGCTCGGTCTTGCACGTCTCCCAAGTCATTCAGAATGACCCATCAAACCTGCTCCACCCACAGAGTCCCTACCCCCACCTTTGCTCTCAACTGAGCCTGTGTCCTGGATCACACCGGGTCTGAAGATGAAACTGCTATGCCGTGGGGGATTTCGTGGTGTGACCTTCCTCCTGAGGCGGGAAGGCGATGATCAGTTTTTAGATGTGGCTGAGGCCCCTAAAGATGCAGAGGCTACCTTCTCAGTCCATCAGCCTGGCAATTACAGCTGCAGCTACAGGACCCACGAAGCGGGTGCACCCTCTGAGCCCAGTGCTACTGTGACAGTGGAGGAGCTGGGTGAGTGTGTTGACCATCCCAGAGGGCTCCCTGGGGTAGGAGGTTCCTGGAGGACAGAGCTGCATTTACCTTGATCCCCAACCCTGAATACCCTCGCCCAGGACTAGGTCTGGGGAACAGTGGTCACACAGTTGGGTGGATCACAGCTGACCTGAACACTGACACTGCAGCAGCTCGGGGGTGGGGAGGTGGGGGGGTGGTGGGTGGGAGTCTGGGGAAGGGCCTGGCTGACCATAGCTTTCTCAGAAACAGTCCCACAGCGGGGTTATCCAAGACTCTAGCCCCAGCGACCCTCCCTGACTTGCAGAAGCACCGTTGCCACCCACGCTGAGTTTCCTGGGAGAGTCTGCAGGTGTCCTGCCCCGGGGCGCCGGCGCAAACCTCCTTTGCGTGGCGCCCCTGAGCGGCGTGGAATTCCAGCTGCGGCAGGGCGAGGAGGAGCTGCTGGTACCCAGGAGCTCCAGCAGCCCAGACAGCATCTCCTTTCACCTGAACGCGGTGGCTCTGGGAAACGGCGGTCTCTACACCTGCCGCTATCGGCTGCGTGCCAAGCAAACCTGGTCCTCTAACAGTGCACCTGCCGAGCTGCTGCTGAGCGACGGTAAGCCTCGCAGCCACAGGCTGGGACATGGGCATGGGGCTGGGAGGGCGACAGTGCTCTGCTCCCCGGGCGGGGAGCGGGAGGAGGGACCCAGGGAAGGGTTCCCCGGAATTGCAGGGCTCTGGTTGGAGCCCAATCCCAACTCATCCGCCCGGCCTCAGTTTCCCCAACTGAGAATGGGACAATGAGCTCAGCATCCCCAAGGCTCCAATAAGAATAACTGGGTCAACACGCAAGTCTGGCACAGGCCGTGCAGGCGCCCGCCACCTGCCGGGGGTCCCCTCCTGTTTCCCGGGTCTGGGTGGGCACCCGAGGCCTGTTTGTTGAAGGGAACAGGCTGGCGCTGTTGAAGGGAGCCAGGCCTGTTGCAGGGCCTGCCAAGGACTGGGAGCGACGACCCCAAGAGAGGATCCCGGCCAGCTGCAACCGCATGCCTTGGGCTTGGTGACAAAACTCGACGCCTTCCCCACGTCTGTTTTTATGGACAAACTAATAAAGAATATAGTTTTGGACTGTATGTGAGGGATCCGGTAAGCTCTGGAGGGTGGTACAGTTTTAAGCGGAGGGGGGCCGGCGGACTCCTTCAGGCAGAAGGCGCGAGGCTGGATCGCATGTGAGGCCCAAGCCTTCCCCTCCGCGCCCGGGTCAGCCAGTGTCCTCCCCACAGAGACGCTTCCCGCGCCGGAGCTCTCGGCCCACCCCGCGACTCTGCGCCCCGCGCCCGGCACGCTGGTGCAGCTGCGGTGCCGGGCTCCCCGGGCCGGCCTGCGCTTCGCCCTGGTGCGCGAGGACGCCAAGCGCCGAGTGCTCCGTGTCCTGAGCCCCGCGGGGACAGAGGCCACCTTCGAGCTGCCGCACGTCTCGGTGGTGGACTCCGCCAACTACAGCTGCGTCTATGTGGACACGGCGCCACCCTTCAAGGGCTCGGCGCCCAGCGCGCACCTGGAGCTGCGCGTAGACGGTGAGCGGGCGGGGGCTCCCAGCCGTGAGCAAATGAGGGTGCCCAAGGGAAGTGCACCGGGCCTTGGTCCTGCCCTCACAGCAAACCCTTCGGGCCAATGGAATTTCGGCTGCCGATGGTCTGGGGGCACCTCGCATTTGCCTTATTTCCTGTGCTCTCTGCCGGGAACACCGTTTCCCTTGGCCATTTCTTCCTTTCCCACACCTGTCCCGAGGCCCTGACTGCCAAATGCTGGGTACTCCAGGGAGTCTAGAGCAGGCCCGGGTCTAGGGAACTTGCGAGGTCTTGGGGGAGGAGGGTGACGGAGGGTAAGAGGAGGAACCCTGTTCAGGACCAGGAAAAGGAGGAAAGGTGTGTGAGGACAAAGGGTAGCATCCTGGAGGGATGGAGCAGCCAGCCGGCCTGGGTTTAGTGGGAGGCAGGAAGGCGGAGGGGGCCTGGGGCAGCTACTACGTGAGGGGAGGGCCTCACTTGACTGGCCCGGCTGCTCCGCCCAGGATCCCCTCCCAGGCCACGGCTCTGGCCCCTGTCGAGTGGGGTGGTGGTTCCCGGCCGTGATGCGGTCCTGCGCTGCGACAGCCAGGTGCCCAGCGTCATGCCCACGGTCATCTTCGAGCTGCTGCGGGCAGACGAAGAGGAGCCTTCAACCAAGCTCTGGTCCAGCCACGCTTCAGCAGACCTTGTACTGACCTATGTGGGGCCCCAGCATGCCGGCAACTACAGCTGCCGATACCGCTTATGGTCACCCAAACCCTTCGTGTCTGAGCTCAGCGACCCGGTGGAGCTCCAGGTGGCAGGTGAGCCTTTCCTCTGGTTCCGTGAGCTGGGTTCCTCTTTCTGGCCTTTGCCCAGATTGTGCCCTCTACCAGGACGGGCCCCTTCCTTGCACCTCCTCCCAGCACCTTGGTTAGTGTGCCTAGTCTGCTGGGGTTATGAGGGAAATTACAGGCAGGGAGAGGACACATGCAAAGGCCCTGGAGCAGATTGTGGTTTGGTCAGGTAGACACCTGGACAGAGGCCTAGGTGTGTGTGGGGGGGGGGACGGGGGGGGTCTTGGCTGGCAGCTGATCAAGCTACTTCCTTCCTGAGGGGCCTTAGTGAGGTCTGCCCTGATTTCACCAGGGAGGAGGACACATGATGCCCCCTTCCCCTAACATTTCTCTTTTGTCAAATTTGTCTAGGAAGTTGATCCAGCTGCAGACTCAGGCTGCTAATGGTATCTTTGGCAAATAGTTTCTCCAGTCTGGCTCTGATCCCTCATGCTGCAGCTAGAGGCTGGACTCCCCCTGAAAGTGCTGAACTGTCCCTCATTCCTCCTGGAAATTAATAAAAATGTGAAGAGACTTTAAAAGGTGTCCTTGGCTAATGGCAGCCCTGGTGCAGGGGGCTGTCCTTCCAGGGCTGAGGGAAGTGGGCTGGGATCTTGTGTCCTAAAGGTGGACGGGCTCTGGGTTGGATCCTGAGGGTACAGGGGCCAAGGATTGGCTACTTAGGGCCACATTTTTCAAGATTGCCTTTTGCTTTCTTCAAGCTGCCTCCTACTCCCCAGGCACCTCTGCTTGGTCCCCAGCAGGTCTGGATAGATAGCTCTCCAGACATACCCAACCCCACCTTGATCAAATTGGTCCCCACACTGGGAGGCACTTCAGAGAGGCTGCATTTTGTAGTTTTGTTTTCTGGACTGAGTGGCCACCACCTGGTGGTGCTGGAGTCTGTCCCCAAAGGCTAGGTCTCTCACATTGGGGATTGAAACTGTTGTAGGGTTGGGACTCCTCTTTATTCCTTCCCACTTCCCCACAGATCTAAGGCCCTTTGCCCCACCCAATATCCCGCTGGACATTTCATTGCCCAGTCCACTTAGAGCTTGGCTCTCAAGGTACAGGCATACCAGTAGGTGTGTATCAGCATTATCAACTAATACTTGATAAATTTTGTTTAAGGAATTTGCCTATTTCATCTGATTGGTCTGATTTACTGGTATAGAGTTGTTTACAACATTCCTTTATTCATTTAATGCCTACAGGGTCTGTAGTGATGTCACCTTTTTCATGCTTGATATTGTGTCCCTTCTACCCCACCCCCCACCCACTTCTTCCCCTCTGTCAGTCTAGCTAGGGGTTTATCAATTGTATTATTCTTTTCAAAGAACTAATTAACTTTTGGATTTGTTCATTTTTTCTATGGTCTCTTTTCTACTTTGTGGATCTCTACTTGTATCATTATTATTCTCTTCCTTCTACTTCTGAATTAATTTGTTCTTTTTCACTTTCTTCAGGAAACACAGATCATTGATTTCTTGGGGGTAAACATCAGCTAACAGCTCATTAGACTTAAAAACAAGTCTGTATTAGTTTAAATAACAGGAAATTACTTCTTTGTGGATAAAAAATAATCGGCAGTATTTAAATACTGGCAACTTCATCAGTTATATCCAGTTGGTAGGTGGTGTTTAGTTCTTCTGTATCCTGATTTCCTATCTACTTGTTTTGTTGATTTAAGAAAGAGGAGTGTAGAAGTCTCCAATTATAATTATGAATTTATTATTTTCTTCCAGTTCTATCAGTTTTTGCTTCCTATATTTCAGGGCTTTGTTGTTAGATACATACATATTTAGAATTGTTATGTCTTCTTGGTGGATTGACCTTTATCATTATGTAATGTCCCTCTTTATCCCTGGTAATTTTCCTTGTTCTGAAGTCTACTTGGTATGATATTAAAATAGTCACTCTAGCATTCTTTGGTTAATTTTTGTATTATATATCTTTCTCCACCCTTTTATTTTTTCAATTAATTTTTTTGAGTATAGTTGACATGTTACATTAGTTTCAGGTGTACAACAGGGATTTGACAAGTTTATACATTATGCTATGCTCACAAGTATAGCTACCATCTGTCACCACACAACACTATTACAATGTCATTGACTATATTCCTTATGCTGTGCCTTTTATTCCCGTGACTTATTCATTCCATAACTGGAAAACTGCATCTCCCACTCCCCTTTATTTTTTTATTTTTTTATTTTTTTTAAGATTTTATTTATTTATTTGAGAGAGAGAATGAGATAGAGAGCACGAGAGGGGAGAGGGTCAGAGGGAGAAGCAGACTCCCCGCTGAGCAGGGAGCCCGATGTGGGACTCGATCCCGGGACTCCAGGATCATGACCCGAGCCGAAGGCAGTCGCTTAACCGACTGAGCCACCCAGGCGCCCCTCCCACTCCCCTTTAAAACTTACCTATATCATTATATTTATTTTAAATTTTGTACACTAATGAGATATAATGTATATGCATTAAAATATACAAATCTCAAATATATTACTGAATGAATTTTGATACTCTCCCCTCTTTATGTTGTAGTCATATATACTACATCAACATACATTGAAAACTCTACCAATGTTATAAATCTTGTTTTCAAGTCAGGTATATCTTTTTTTTTTTAACACATGTATATCTTAAAGATCAAATATTTGCAATGTGTTACTCTTTCTTCATTACCAAAGTTCCAATTTTCCTTCTGTTATCACTTCCCTTCTATCAAAACAACCCTTTTCGCCTGCTGGCAAGATTGTTAGTTTTGCATCATTTGAAAATGTTTTTACTTTGCTCCCCTTCTTGATGTGTATTTTCATTGGATATAGAATTTTGGATTGACAGTGTTTTTTTCCCCAGCACTTTAAACATGTTGTTTCTCTGCCTTCTGGCTTTCACTATTTCTGACAAGAAACCCATAATCTTTTGCACTGATCTTTATAGGATGCATAGTTTTTCACAGACTGTTTTCAAAATTTTTAAAATTTGTTTTCAGAAGTTCAATTATGACGTGTCTAGGCATGGATTTCTTTGAGGTTATGCTGTTTTGGGTTCACTGAGCTTTCTGAACCTGTAAATTGAGACCTTTTGCCAAATTTGGTAAGTTTCCAGTAATTATTTCTTCAAATATTCTCTCTGCTATTATTACAAAGAATGTGGTAGCATTTCCAACTACATGTATGGTCTTATCAGTTTCTGTGATTCTGTTCCCTAATAAGGATGTCATGAGCTCTCTGGTTTCAAACTATCACATCTTCCTAATGCATTGTTCCTTTTTATAAACAAAACAAAACAAATAGTGATCCTATGACCCTAATAATGCTTTTCTGTGTCAACATCTATTTTGTTGAAATAATATAGCTCTGTTGTCTTTCTTCAGATTCATGTCTGTCTTGAATATCCTTTGCTATTCCTTTACCCTCAATTTTCCCATTTTAGATGTGTTTCTTCTAAAGAACATATGTCCGGATTTGAAAGAAATCCAATGTTAGTATTTGTCTTACTTAGTTTGTTGAATATAGTTGTGCTTATTGAAATTGCTGACATATTTGGATAGGCTTTCAAATCTCAGTGCTTCCAGTCTCTGGCAGTATAAACTTGGCCACATCCCTTCCTCTATAAAATGGGACGGTCATTCTGCCCTCAGAATGTTGTGAGATGATGTACATAAATTATTTGGCAGACTGAAAAACACATGTAGATCCTTTTTTTTTTTTTATACATGTAGATCCTTAATGATTCCTTTTCCCCCTGACTTCCTCCCCCTTCAGACAAACATGGGAAAACACGTATCTCATGACAAAATGGGTGCTGGAGATGCTCAGAGAACCAGGGGGTAGAGATTCAGCTTTTCAGTACCAAAGGCCAGGAAAGTAGGGGCAGAAAGAGGTGGAGATGGATACTACAAGCCAGTGGCCAGGCCCTGGGTTGGGTGTTAAACAAGGCAGGTCATCTAATTCCTGCTTTACAGATGAGCAGGTCACTGAGGTTCAGGGAAGTCACTTATCCGAGGTCCCAAAAGCAGCCTGGGAGGAGTGGGGCTCTGCAGACTGACTTTAGGCCCACATCTTTCCCCCTGCCTGCAGGCTTGTTGGAGGCCTATGTGATCATTTCACTAGGAATGTGTATCTCTCATCCCTGAGCTTTTTCCTATGTCTGTCAACTTCCTCTGAGTCTCTCAGCCCTGGTCTCACTATGAGTGGCTGTCTGCCTGGGACTTTCTGTATATCTGGGACTTTCTCAGAGATATTGACACAAGATCTCTGTTTCCCTGGGTCTCAACGTTCCTCCTTCCTGTTCCGAACCTCACTCCTTGGTCTGTGTGACTCTGTTTACTTGTGACACAGAGGGAATGAGTTCAAGACACAGGGAGAAACACAGAAATGGTGACAATGAACAGTAAAAAAACAGCATGGTAGGTCAGATGGTTAACATGTGATGGGATCATCAGAGAAAGAGAGGAAGAATGACACCCTGATAGTTAAGAACAGAGGCTGTGACATCCAGTTACAGACATGGACCCTGAAAGACAGCCAGGGATACAGAACTGTGAGAGAAGGTCAGAGAGCACTGACAGCGTGTTGGCAACCACCGAGTCCAGGGAGATTCTGGGGTGATAGAAAGGGCAGACTCAATATGGTAACATTTTATTGAGGCCACTGTATGCCACGCTTGTCTGAGTGCTGGGGCTCTGGGAAAATCAATTGTTCTTGCCCTGCTGGGTGTTGGGGAGACAGCAATGTAGACCTATATCAGGTTGCAGGGTGCAGCATGGTGACTGCCTCCAGGAAGGCATCAGTCACAGTATATTCATTCAACAGACACTGGCCAGAGCCTATTGCATCCTGTGCTATGGATACTGAGAATAAGACATAGCCCCTGCTTTTGGAAGCTCACAGTGTCTTTGGGAAACACAGACTGCAAGCTCTGCAAGGAGTAAATACAACATGGTAGGAAGTTAAAGAGAAGTTAAGGAGGTGTTCTGGAAGCAGAGAAGGCAAGTTGAAGTCTGCTCAAGGAAGTAGGGGAGGCTTTGTTAGGGAGGGATATGTGAAACATGTGGGAGGAAAGACGAGAGGTTTCCAGGCACAGGTACAGAGGCACGTAGGTGGGAAAAATATGGCTTCTTCAGGAACGACAAGTAGTTCCACATGGCTGGTGTGTGGAAGGTGGGGCTACTACAGTAGATGAGGCTGGGGCCAGGTCACAAATGATCATGAATGGCAGGTGAAGGAGTTTGACATATATCCCACAGGGCAGTACTTTGAAACCATTTTTCACATCACTGCACACACAGAAAAATGACAATATTCACACGCACATACAAGGGTACCTGGAGAGGTTATCTGGGGCCAAGACTTATGTCTTGGCATACTTGTAACCCATTCAGAAAGCTTTGCCACAGAAGGTGATGCACTGGAGAGCTTTCCACTATGGAGTGACACAATCAGGTTTGGATTGCAGGAAGAGCCCTCTGGAGGCTGGTGTGGAGAAGAAACAGTGGGGGAGGTCAGGGGAGAGAATGAAGGCAGGGGACCCCAGCTGGAATCTAGATGAGAGGTGATGAGGGCTCAAAGAAGGTGAGAATAGTAAAGACAGATTAGAGGTGAGTTGTTTTTTTTTTTTTTAAGATTTTATTTATTATTCATGAGAGACAGAGAGAGAGAGAGGCAGAGGGAGAAGCAGGCTTCCAAGGAGCAGGGAGCCCGATATGGGACTCGATCCCAGGACCCTGGGATCATGACCTGAGCTGAAGGCAAACGCTTAACCATCTGAGCCACCCAGGTGCCCTAGAGGTGAGTTTTTGATAAAACCAACAGGGCTGATTGCTGGTGCGACACAGAAGGAGAAGGCAAGGAGAAACAGATGCTGGGCAAGCATCATGCCACACCCTTGATTAGGGAGAATGTGAGAGAGACTGAGGGCCTGGAGAAGGCCTCATAGAAGAGAAGAGGCAGCTTCACAGGTTGGCCTTGGAGTTAGACAACAATAGGTGGAGCGAAAGAGTAGGTGTGAAGGCACAGAAGTGGGCATGGGCTGGCATCCCTCCTGGGCTAAGCAGGAGAGGAAAAGGCAAGGAGAGCAGCTACATGGGAACATGAAGCTGGAGCCTTTCTGTCCAGAGCATCTTGGGACCATTGAGTCCCAACAGAAACTTCACCCCAATTGACCTGACTCTGAAGACCAATCCAAGTCCTCAGCTCAGCTGTCTTTTCTCCGAGATGGGCCTGAGTGGGGTATGGAGGGAAGTAGGATTCTTCTGGAAGCTTCTCCAGCTAGCCTGAATAGCTTTGTGTTCATCAGGCGCCTCCCTCTGGGTCTCCAAATGCAGAGTTGTTCCCAGACAGCCCCAGAGTCTGCCCTGAAGCACCTTATCACTTTAGGGTACTATCAATCACTTACCCTGATCTTTGTTCTTTTGGAACTTAGGGTTTCTCTTAGATGTTGAGCCTCTGAGAGGAAGTTGTTCTATGTCCCAAGGGCTTTCTTTGGTTACTGCAGTACTGTAATGTGGATCCTCAGGTGAACCATGAGGGCTGAGCTGCGGCTAAAGGCCTTCCCACAGTCACTGCACTTGTATGGCTTCTCTCCTGTGTGGATCCTCTGGTGCTCAATGAGGGAGGAGCTCTGTGCAAAGGCCTTCGGACAAATCTTACACTGATATGGCTTCTCTCCGGAGTGGATTCTCAGGTGGCGGATTAGAGCTGAGCAGTCACTGAAGGCTCTCCCACAAGCGTCGCACTTGTAGGGCTTCTCCCCAGTGTGGATGCGCTGGTGCTGAGTCAGGTGGGTGCTCTGACTGAAGGCCTTCCCACACTCGTCACACTCATAGGGCCTTTCCCCTGTGTGCACCCGCTGGTGTTGAGTGAGGTGGGTACTGCGGCTGAACGTTTTGCCACATTCCCCGCACTTGTAGGGTTTTTCTCCAGTGTGGATCCTCTGGTGCTGAGTTAGGTGGGTGACCCGGCTGAAGGCCTTCCCACACTCTTTACACTTATGGGGCTTTGCACCCGTGTGGATGACTTGATGCTGGGCCAAGTGAGTGCTCCGACTGAAGGCTTTCCCACACTCACTACAGGTGTAGGGTGTCTTCCGAGAATGGCTCTTCTGGTGTGTCTCGAGGGCTGAGGGGCTCTGGAATGTCTTCCCACATTCACTACACTTGGAAGACTTCCTCCCTGAGTAAATGCACGGAGGCTCTGTCCTATCAACATCCACTGGATCAAATTTCTCTTCTGGTGTCTTCTCTTGTGAAGTGAAATTTGGCCACACATTGGGACTATTCCCCAAGACACCCGATTCACAGCTGGGCTGGTTGGTGGGAACATCCTTGTGAGGCTCTGAAGTTTTCCTGAAATCCATCTCTTGGGGGACAGACTTTGTCCATGTTTCCTCCGAGAGTCCTGCCTGCCTCTCTGAGCTGCCCTCAGGTTCACAAGCATCACCAAAAGTGGGTCCCTGGGAAATACCTCTCATGAGGGTTTCAGTGGCCCTGTCTAATGGCTCTGACTCTTTCAAATCACTCTGCTTGCAGCTTGCCTCTGACAGCTTGGCTCCCGGATCCCATCCTGAAATAATCCAAACCACAGCATCACTACTCTTTCCACACAGGACTCCCCCAACTTGGCCTGGGTCCTGGTCTCACTCTGTAAGGGGAGACAAAGCCACTCCTGACATTTGGCCCCATTTCCAAAGGAAAGTTTCTCATTTGATGTCCTGGATGACACAAGGACATAGGGCTGTCCTCCCACACCACTGAAAACTGGATCACAGGTTTCAATCCTCCCCCTCCCCAAACTCTCCATTCTTCAAGGCTGCTGATTTTGGCTCAAGTGTCAGAAGGAAGACCCCGAGGTTGAACTGAACTGAAACACTGAGAGTGAGAGCAAGTAAGCACGCACAGGGATCTGTCCCTGCCAAGTGCCTGTGTACTCACTCCCCCTGAGCAGGCCCCAGCTCTCGGTGCCTTCCCCCTGGACCTAGACAGCCTACTGAGCATTTTCTGCAGCTGCTCAGTAACTACTGGCTGAATGAGGGAATCAGTTCTAGATGCTGACAACTGTGCAATTTTCTACAGTAGACTCTACCTTGAGCCCTAAGTAGACAACTGCTGCTGAGGGTGAGTGGGTGACACGCCTACCTGGCCTCCCTAAGACCCCGGGAGGCCTGAGGCCCACTCTAAATGGCTGTGAAGGCAGAGTGTGGTTAAAAGGTAGCCAGAGACTGGATTGTGTCTGAGGTAGCAGTGTGCCTGAGCTGACCTTTGAACTGAACTGACCCTTGATGGGTGCACAGGGCACCTGGGGACACTTAAGAGCATCGTGTACTGGACAGATTCCAGGAAGAGATGGGGACAGGCAAACAGCTGCTGCTTGAGTCCACAGTGGGGCCCCAGCTCTGCTACTAGCCAGCTCCAGGGCCTTGGGCAATCTAGCCTTTGTCTGCACCTGCTTCCCCACCTGTACGAGAGGGACACTATACTGCTCGTCTTCCAGGGCTGCTGGTCATTCTTAGGCTCTTGTTATGTGCTAGTCTCCAAGTACAGTTGGTCATTTCCATTGCCTCATTTCAGCTTCAATCCGCTCTCACAAGGACATACTGCAACTACTGTGCCTCACACAAGGAAACTGAGGCCCAGCTGAAGGAAGGTCTTGAGTAACTAACTGGTACAAGATCACACAGTTAGTTAGTGGCCAAGTTGAGATTTCAGCTTTCCTCCTCTAAGCCCACAGATGTCCTCCTAACTCCCCAGCTTCCCCAGCCACATGCTTGGTCCCACACCCCCCTTTCTTCCTCTATTCTAGAAACATCGCACAACCTGCTCTTCCCAGAATGCACTGGTCCATATCATACCACTGAGCCTTCCCCTGCACCACTCCCTCTGCCTGGACTGCTAGCTCCTTCTCCTTGTCTCAGTGCCATATTGCCTTTTCTCTGAAAACCTCGACCTTGCAGGAGAAGGGCGCCACTGCCCCCTCTCCCTGTGCCCGTGACCTCTGCCTGGGCATAGCTGATGAGGCCAAGGGAAGGCACATGACCAACCTCTCCAGAAAGGTCTGTTTCTCAAGGAGCTAAAAAATCGTCCTAACAGCCACAGTTTCCACTGTGTTTAATCTGTGCCAGGCGTTGACATTGAGGTAGGCATATGACTGCAATTCCCATTTTATTGACAGGGTAACAGAGGCACAAGAAAGTCACAGGAGGAAGAGGAGCAGTGGTTGGATCTACCAAGCCTTAATCATATTTCTGTTCCGCCTACCCACAGCACATCTCCTCCCTGGTCCTGGCATACACACACTATCTGCCACTATCAGGCCAGGCCGGGCCAGGCTGGGCCAGGCGGGGCCCTTCTGGGAGAAGCCCTCACTCCCTGCTCTCGACTGTCCTGGGGCTGCAGCCTCCCTGCATCCTATAGGACCTCCCTGGGCTGGGACATTTGTGTTGGTCCCCCGGAGCCACAGTGCCGACTCTGGCTAAGGGCAGGTCTGACTCACCCAGATCCTACAGGGCCAGCAGACGGAGGATTCAGAGGGGACACATGGAGACACCTGGCATTTCTGTCACCCCCACCCCCACAGGCTTCCAGCCCACAGCAGCCCGGTTTTCCTTGCTCATGTTAGTCCCTGGGATCTGGTCAGCCATAAGACAAGCACAAGACCCCAACCAGTTCAGTGGGCCTCAGCCCAGGAACCTTTTAGTGTTCTCCCCTGGGGTTTCCACACTGATAAGACATAAGCCTGGGTTGCTGAGCCAATTTTGTCTCTAAGGATAGAAGCTACTTAAGAGTAAAGCTAGGTGTGCCTGGGTGGCTCAGTTGGTTAAGTGTCTGCCTTCGGCTCGGGTCATGATCTCAGGGCCCTGGGATTGAGTCCCCATTAGGCTACCTGCTCAGTGGTGAGTCTGCTTCTCCCTCTTCCCCTGCCCCTCCCCTCACCCCCGCTTCTGTGCACTCTCTCAAAAAAAAAAAAAAAAAAAAAAAAGAGCAAAGCTAATGTAGGAAAACCCAACTGAGAAACAGAAAAAAAAAAAGTCCTGATACCATCAACTAAGCTCCCGGATATAGCCACAAAGCCTCCCTACTTTTTTTTTTTTTAAAGATTTTATTTATTTATTTGAGAGAGAGAGAATGAGAGATAGAGAGCACGAGAGGGAAGAGGGTCAGAGGGAGAAGCAGACTCCCTGCTGAGCAGGGAGCCCGATGCGGGACTCGATCCCGAGACTCCAGGATCATGACCTGAGCTGAAGGCAGTCGCTTAACCAACTGAGCCACCCAGGCGCCCAAAGCCTCCCTACTTTGCTTCAGTCAGTTTGAACTGGGTTTTTGGTCATTAGCAATCAAAACATATCTGCTTTGTACATTGTGTGAAAGTTTGGGTGAGGTACAAAGGTGACAAGTACATGTGTGAGCGACCCCAAGCCCAAACCCTGCACTCCCCACATTCCAGTCCAGGCTCTGCCCACAGTGTGCTGTGAACAGTTACCAGTCGCTCCCTCTCACCTCTCTTGTCGAGTGCCCGAGTCAGACCTTCCACCAGCATGGCAGCCTCCTCACCACTCTTGGGGAACTGGGCACCCACCCAGGACTGGATCGTGGGGGGCAGTACACCCAGGAACTGCTCCAGCACCAGCAGCTCCAGCATTTGCTCCTTGGAGTGTGCTTCAGGCTGCAGCCACTGGCGGCACAGTTCACGGAGCTGGGCCAGGGCCTCATGTGGGTTGGAAGCCTCCTCATAGCAGAAGCGCCGGAAACGAAGACGTGCAGCCTCGGGGTGGGCAGTGTGGCCAGAGCTAGACTCCTGGATCTCAGAGAGGCTGGCCTCCTCATCCTCCACCTTCACGCGTAGAAAGCCATCCTGTTCCCAGGGCACTGGGTTCAGAGCGTTCTTGGGGATGGCCATCAAGGAGCAGCACAAAAGTGAGGCACAGGATGGCTGGAGTGTTGGAACTGGGTCTGCAGGAATGCCAGAACTTTGTCATCATGTGGAACTTGGGGCTCTGCTCATACCTGTAGAGCAGGGCAGATGCAGACTTGGGGCCTGTAAGATGTAACTCATTCTCACAGAGACACAGATGCTCAAAATAATCAGGTGCTAAGCACCATTATAAACGTTTGCATACGGTAACTCATTTAAAACTTACAAAAACTCAGGAGGTAGGAACTTCCTTTCCATTTTACGGATATGAAAACAGATATAGAGGAGAAGATTTGCTCAAAGTTTCCCAGATACTGAAGGGATGGGGAGTTGCTGAGCTACAAACCAAGGCAGCCTCAGCCCATGGCCAGTCTGCTTACAGTGTTCCTCCCACACAGAACAAGGTCTCCCTCCTATCTCACACACACTCCCCAGCTAGCTACATGGTCATTCCCTCACTTTACTTGCTAATTATTTTGTAGCTTCTGAGATGGATACTTAAATAATTGACATTCAGCCTTTCTTTTCTCTTTTCTAATACATGTACTTAAGGCTATAAATTTCCTTCTAAACACAGCTTTAGCTGCATACCCACAAGTTTGATGCTGCATGTTCATTATCATTTAATGAGTTCAAAATATTTTCTAAATTCTGTTGTGGTTTCTTCCTGATCCATGGGTTTTTTAGAAATCTGGTCTTTCATTTCCAAATAACTGGGGTTTTCTAGTTGTCTTTTTATTGTTGATTTCCAGATTAAGACTGTTGTGCTCAGAAAATGTGCTTTAGTCAATTTTAATCCTTTCAAATTTGCTGAGACTTGGTTTGTGACCCAGGGTACAGTTAATTTTGGTCAGTATTCTGCAAAACTTAAAAATAATGCAAAAAGTTAAAAACAGAAGTACCATATAATCCAGCAATTCCATTTCTGGGCATTTATCCAAAGAAAATAAAAACACTAACACTAGGGGCGCCTGGGTGGCTCAGTCCTTAAGCGTCTGCCTTCGGCTCAGGTAACGATCACAGGGTCCTGGGACCGGGCTCCCTGCTTGGCGGGAAGCCTGCTTCTCCCTCTCCCATTCCCCCTGCTTGTGTTCCCTCTCTCACTGTGTCTCTCTCTGTCTAATAAATAAATAAATCTTTAAAAACAACAACAAAAAATACTAACACTAAAGTGAAAAGATATATTCATCCCTATATTCACTGCAGCATTATTTATAATAACCAAGATATGGAAGCAACCTAACTCTCCATCAATAGATGAATGGATAAAGAAAATGTAGCCCATATATATATTGGAATATTACTCAGCCATAAAAAAGAATAAAATCTTGCCATTTATTTTATTTTTTTTTAAGATTTTATTTATTTATTTGAGAGAGAGAGAAGGAGAGATAGAGAGCATGAGAGGGAAGAGGGTCAGAGGGAGAAGCAGACCCCCCGCTGAGCAGGGAGCCTGATGTGGGACTCGATCCCGGGACTCCAGGATCATGACCCGAGCCAAAGGCAGTCGCTTCACCAACTGAGCCACCCAGGCGCCCAAATCTTGCCATTTATGACAACATGGATGGACCCTGAGTGTATTATGCTAAGTGAAATAAGTTAGACAGAGAAAGATACCATTTCATTTCACTTACACGTGGAATCTAAAAAACAAACAAATGGACATACAAAACAAAACTAGGTTCATAGGTACAGGGAACAGACTGACGGCTGCCAGAGGAGAAGGAGGTTTGGGACTGGGTGAAAGGGATTAAGAGGTACAAACTTTCAGTTATAAGACAAATAGGTTATGGGGAGGTAATGTATAACACACAGAATATAAAGATATTGTATTAACTTTGTATGGTAAGAAATGGTAACTAGACTTATTGTGATCATTTTGTACTGCATATAACTGTTGAATCACTATGTTGTACAGCTAAAACCAAAATAATATTGTGTAAACTATACTTTAATTAAAAAAAAATGCAAAGCCTTCCTGGATAAGTGATGAAAGACAAAGTAGATAAAGAACTTCATCAAAATTAAAAACTTTCATGATTTGAAGGATACCACCAAGAAAGCAAAAAGGCAACCCACGACATGGCAGGAAATATTTGCAAATTATATATCTGATAAAGAACCCGTATCTAAGTAACTCCATAATAAAAAGACAAATAATCCAGTTAAAGAATGGGCAAAGGTTTTGACTAGACAATTCTTCGAAGAAGATATACAAAGAGCCAACGGGCGACATGAAAGATGCTCAACGTCATGGCTACCAGAGAAATGCAAATCAAACCATGATATACCGCTTCACAGCTGCTAAGACGGCTACAATAGAAAAGAGGTAACAAAGATTGGTTGGCACTTGAGCCGTGGCCCTGGGCACAGGGAGAAGCAAACGTTAGTAAGATAAGACCCCAATGCTGAAGCCTTTCAGGGGCAGCTGGCAACTTCTGGCAAAACTGGGTTCTAGCCCCTAACCCCACCATGAAGCTCACGTGGACCTCCTGTCACCTTGTCCTTGCCATTATCCCCAGGCCCCATCTTTTCAGCCTTTGTCCCTGTTATTCTCGTGTTCTCAGGTCTCTCTCTGCACCTAATTTCTCGCAGTCCTCCAAACTGCTCGTTACCTGCCCTCTCCTCCAAGCGCGGCCCGAGCGCTTGGGAGCAAGCTAAGTACCCCGAGCGCCCTGCGTCTCCCTCTTCCCAGCTCGGGCTGTAACCGCGTGCGGCCCCAGGGGGACTGGGCCCGCCGGACCGACAGCGCCCAGGGCACGGCCCACGTCAAGTGCGCTGTAACGGGTGCCGAGCACAAGGAGGGACCTGGGAGGGCTGGGCGCGCTCGTCCACGCGGGAGGCGAGGCAGGGCTGGCGGGGATGGGAGAGATGCCGCAGGACCCTGAGCTCTCTTATACCCCGGAGCGCCTGTTCTGGGGAATCCCTGCTGACAGTCTCCGAGGCGCGTGCGCACGGACCTGCCTTAGCCCGGCCGCCCGCGCGCTGACCTCACACCGGGTCAAGGCCCGCGGCCCGAGGGCTGAACCGACTGGAGAGAGTGGGCCCTGCCGGAGCTCACACCGGGTCAAGGCCCGCGGCCCGAGGGCTGAACCGACCGGAGAGAGGGGGCCCTGCCGGAGCCGTCCGGGGCCGGCACCTACCTCAGAGGGCTGCTGGGAGGCTATAGCCACGGCGCTCCGCCACAGGCGTCCGGACAGGCCCGGCACGCGGCCGGCACGTGCTGAACGAGCCGCCTGCGGGCCGCGCAGCCTCCCGCCGACCCGAGCGCCCCGGCGCTGCTGGGGGACACGGCCGCGGCCCCAGACGGGCGGCCGGCCGCAGACGTGGCAGAGCACAGCCTCTGCCCCAGACGTGCTCAACTCTGCCGATCACCCAGATCTCGGGCCCGACAAAACCTCAGTCACACAGTCAAACGCAGCCCGAAATATACGCGGGCGCAGAACACCTCAGGGTCGCCCCGTGCGGAGCGCACAGGCCCGCACAGCGGCGAATTCCCGCAGTCGCCCGTGTCTCCGGGCCGCCGTCTCGCTCAGTCGGACGGCGGACGCTCGCGGGCACACCTCCAGGCACACGGCCGGCCGCACGCCAACGCTCTCGCTCACAACCGCACACAACGCCCCCGGAAGCTCACGCCCCGTCCCCCTCAGCCACACAGCACAGCCGGCTGTCAGTGAGAAACGCAGCCCCGCCATGCGGCCGCCGCTGAAGCGCTCTCTCAGGCGGCACCCCAGTCAGCCGGCCCCACATTCGATCAGGGAGCTCCACAGCCGGCCTGGGCGCCCGCCAGTCGGCCCTCCAGTCGCGCCGCTCGTGGCCAGCGCCTCAGTCCCGCACGCCTGGCACGGGCCGCCCGAGAGAGGGGCCTGAGCGCTCCCCTCCGGCCGCGAGCCCCGCGGACCGCACCCAGACCCACCTGACCCGCGCGGCGCCGGCCACTTCCGGGAGCTCCCTCGGAGGCGCCGGCTCGCCGGGACCACGACTCCCAGAATGCGCCACGCTGTCCAACGGGCGCGCGCGCGCTCACCGGGGCCTCCGCTCCCGCGCTCACAGCGCGCGCGCGGCCCCGCCGTCCCCCTGGATATCCTAGTCCCCAGAAGGCCGCGGGCCGCCTCCTGCGCACCCTCGGGGCACGCCGGGAGTTGTAGTCTGGGCGGGCAGGGAGCGGAAGGCTGGCCCATGGTGGGGTCGCGGCGGACGTGAGCGGAGAGTTGGGCCCGGGGCTGTGCGCGCGGCGGGACCGTGCACGGTGCGTGGGGGCGTGCATCGTGTGTCGTGTGTGCTGCTTTTCGTGACTATTTACAGGGGATCCCACCTGTTTGTCCTGCATGACTGTAGGTGCGCCGGAGGCTAGGCTGAGTGTGTCATTCTCCGACCACGTGTGTGGGTATCGTGTGCGCGAGTGTGTGTGTGTGTGTCTGCTAGTCACCATACGCGACAATCCTGCAGCACTGTGTGGCTGTCGCACCGTGTGATGGCGTCTGCTGGTGCTGCCCAGGAAGGCCTGAGAACAGCAGGAAGGCCCCAGACTGGGTATGATTGCTGTATGTTGCTGCAGTGACTGTGGCTGTGATCATGGATGTGACTGTGTGATAGTGCGGATGCCTGGATGTGTGACTGTGTGAGAATATGTCCTCTGTATGTGCATGTGGGTGTGTGAGAGTTGAAGCAGAAGACTCCAGCCGGGGGCCCAGGACAGTGGCCCAGCCTGTGTGCAGGTGAGGCTTTGAGGTTGGCCTCGCCCATGCTTATTGACCCCAGCCTGTGGGGTCTCCTTCAGCTCATCAGACCTTTGCCTGCAGCCAGAGTGAGCCCCTTCTGCCTTCCCCAGTCCCATGCCGAGCAGTAAGGGCCAGTGCCATTCCAGATGGGACACTGCAGCGAACGCGACGGGCACCGCCCGCCTCTGTGGAGCTGGTGTTGTTGGGAAGGCAGACAGTAATCAAAGAAACAAAAACCTGTTTCTGAGGAGTTGGCATCTCAACCGATCCTGAATAGAGGGGAGGGACAGAGAGAATGTTTCAGTAGATGGAATGCCAATCCCAAGACCCCGAGGTGGGTACAGGCAAGGAGGCCCAGCTGCAGTGGGTTGAGGAAGGAGACAGCAAAGGGTAGGGACAGAATGGGGAGGCCCATGGGGTAGATGGTGCAGGGCTTATGGGCCACGTGTGGACTTTGATGTCTACCCTGAGAGAGGTGGGAGCCATGGGGAGCCTTTGGGCGGAGGGCTGGGCTGTGGCTTAGCTCTTTGTAGGGTTCCTGTGGCTGTCACAGGAAGACTCTTGGGGTGAGGGTAGAGGCAGAGAGACCTGGGAGGTGAATGCTGCTGGAACCCCGGGGAGGTCAGATCAGGTGGTGGAGGTGGGGGTGTTGGTAAGTGGTCAGATACAGGTCTGTTTTGAAGACGGGGCAGACAGGGTTGATGGGTTGGAGTGCAGCATCCAAGGGGAGAGCAGGGCTGGCTCAGGGGCCTGAGAGTGTATTAGTTTGCTGCAGCTGCCATAACCAAATACCACAGCCTGGGGGGCTTAAGCAATAGACATTTATTTTCTCACAGTTCTGGAAGCTGGAAGTCCAGGATCAGAGTGTTGGCAGGGTTGGCTTCTCCTGAGGCTTCTCTCCCTGGCTTGTGGATGGCCACATTCTTGCTCTGTCCTCATGTGGCCTTTCCTCATTAGCATACCCCTGGTGTCTCTCCCTCCCAGTCACTGGATTAGGGCCCCATATGACTTCCTCTAATGTTAATTATCTCTTTAAAGGTCCTATCTCCAAACACAGTCACATTCTGGGACATACTGGGGGTTAGGTTATGATGTTAACGTGTGAATTTGGGCGGGACACAGTTCAGCCCATAATGGGATGAAGGGGCATTGTTATGAGTGTGGGACTTTTTGGGAGGCTTCTGAGGAGAGGGGAGAGAGGGCAACAGCCAGAGGAGACCCAGGTGCCAGGGAGTAACGAGCCTGGATTGACAGTAGGTGTGGGTGACCTGGAAAGTCGATGGAAGCTTTCCTCAGGGCCTTCCTCTCTGTCCAGATTGGGAGTCTGTGCTTTTAGAGCTGAGAGGAGTCCTGCCCTTTCTATGACCTGAGGCCAGGGCATCCTTGGTGCTTAGCACAGGTCGGAGCCCCAAGAAGAGTTGAATGAATGAATGAATGAATGGCAGACTGACAATGTTCCCTTGCTTGAAGCTGCTTAACTGGATTCCCACTTACTTTCCATACCCACCATGGCCCTTCCACACATACCCCAGACTTTCAGAGACACCTTTTATGCTTATTCTCTGATTATTGGACCAGTGCTCTAGGCCTCTGGGTTTTCCTGACTAGACTCTCCTCTCTTCCTCTCTGCCTCTGTCTCTTTCTCATCCTCTCCCCAGAATTCAAACCCCATCTTTTTCAGAGAGTATTCATTCTTTTTAAAATATTTTATTTATTTATTTGACAGAGAAACAGCGAGAGAGGGAACACAAGCAGGGGGAGTGGGAGAGGGAGAAGGAGGGGAGGAGCCGGATGCGGGGCTCGATCCCAGGACCCTGGGATCATGACCTGAGCCGAAAGCAGACGCTTAACCGACTGAGCCACCCAGGCGCCCCCAGAGAGTATTCACTTTAATTTGGCAGTTATATCAGTCAGTTATTGCTCTGTAACGAATAGTTAGTTACAACAGTTCAGTGACTGAGAGCAGTAAGCACTTATTTCTCTCCTGAGTCTAAGAATTGGCTAATCTGGTCTGGGCTTGGCTCCAGGCTATAGGTTGGGTCCATTTCTTTTCTTTTTCTTTGGCGGGGGGGGGGTGGTTGGGTCCATTTCTGCTGCACTTGTCTTATAGGGCTCACAGGGCAAATTTGTCCCATGGTGATGGCAGAGATGCCTGCAGGCTTGAGGCCTAGGCTCAGAACTAACATACTAGCAGTTCCACTCAGATTCTATTGAGATTCTAGAAAGCAAGTCACATGGCCACACCCAAAGTCAAGAAGAGGTATCCATGCGGCCTTTGGTGAAAGGAACGACATATATGGCCAAAGGTATGTACACAAGGAGGGGTGAAAAATTGCTCTAGTAATTCCATCCACTTCATCAATCCTTTTGGTTTCTTTTCTGTTTAGAAAGTCAACAAAGTTAACATCTGTGATCTTGGTTTCTTTCAGATCAAGGAAGGTGACCACAGAGCATATTCAAAGACCTGCTGCAGTTCCTTATGGGGGTAATAAAGGAGGTCATCAGAAAAGAGATTTTATGGGGTTCTGCCTTCAAAGACATTGACACTCCTGAGGCCTACTCAGGAAACCAGAACAGAGATCCTACTGAGGATCCTTTTTCAGGCAAGATTTTAAGCAAAGGTCATTCCCCAACATGGAAACTCCTAGTGTGGGGAGAGGTTTCAGGCAGTAAAGTTGTCTTCCGGCCCCATAAGACAAGAGAGCATTGCTGTGGAAAAGAAACCACACATGTTAGTCGCACATGGAGGAAGCTTTGAGCAGGTTCCAGAGCCAGCGGTGTTGTAGGCAGCCTGTGTGGACAGGAAACCCTGCAGGTGCGCCTGTGTGAGAAGAGTTTCAAGCAGCACTTGGCTCTCTCTGTGCATGAGAAGACTCACGCTGGGGAAAACCCCTATCCATGTAGCACCTGTGGGAAAGTCTTTCGGTGCCAGTCTAACCTCATTGATCACCAGAGGATCCATACTGAAGCAAAACCCTATGAATGCCATGAGTGTAGAAAAGTCTTCCTTTTCTGGTATAGTATACTAAAAAGTACACCAGAGGCCCCACACCGGAGGGAAGTGGTACAAATGCAGGTAGTGTGGCAAAGCCTTCCCAGGGAGCTCAGATCTGCAGAACACAAGATTCACACAGGGGAGAAGCCCTACCAGTGTGGGGATCCTGGGAAAGCCTGCAGGTGGAGCTCACCCTGATCCACCATCAGAGGACACACAGCGGCGAGAAGCCATATGAGTGCATTGAGTGTGGCACGGCCTTTGGGCAGAGTTCCACATTCATTGAGCATCACAAGATCCACACAGATGAGAAGCCCTGAGAGTACTTGGACTGCAGCAAAGCCTTCAAGGGCACTGCGGACTTTAGCCAGCACCAGTGGATCCACACGGGAGGGAGGCCCTACACGTGCAGTGAGTGTGACAAGGCCTTCTGCTACAGTTCATACCTGCTCCAGCACCGGAAGCTCCAAACCAGGGACTAGCCCCGGTGGCCACACTCTCTCCACGTCCCCCGTTACCTCCCATCGTCCTGAAGGCCTGAGGCATCTCAACCTCCCTCATCTTACACCCCACAGACTCTCATTGCTTCCCTCCCTGTTGCCAGAGTTTGCCCCTTTACCTGGTCATCTTTCCATATTCCTTCCCCTTTAAAAATTAACTCTTTTCTTTTTAAGCTATAGTTCACATACCTTAAGTTCACCCTTTTAAAGTGTACAGTTCACTTTTTATTATATTCACAAGGTTGTGCAAAGATCACCACCGTCTGATTCCAGAAGGTTTTTATCACTCCAAAAACAAACCCCATACCCACGAGCAGTCACTCCCTATTCCCCCTACCCCCAGCTTCCGACAGCCATTAATCTGTTTTCTGCCTCCATGGATTTGCCTGCTTTGCTATTTTGTGTAAACGGCCCCTTCGTGTTTTCTGACCACCGGTAGACACACCACAGGGGTCCTAATCCAAGGAACCCTTTGCTCCGACCCCCCCGCCCCCCTGGCCAAGACCCATCCCACCTGTCAAGCACTGAACTGGGCTTTGGCCTGTGGGTGGCACTGGTTGCCCTCATCTCCTTGGGTCTTCTTGGCCTCTCCTTGTGGTTTTCTGCCTTTTGTTGTCAGAGGAACAACCCCAAGATGCTCACCCACAATAATCCTAACAACAGACCACATCTTTATTGGGCCCCTTTTGTGCACCAGGCACTCTGGGCAGTGTCAGTCCAGTTTCGCAACTCTGCTGTGACCATCTCTTCCTGCACCACCGAAGGCGTTATCTCTGGGGGCTCCCGTTTTCCAGCTCTCAGCCCTGCCTTCTCTGCCCAGCCCAGCTTCACATCACTGCCTCCCTGCCTCCAAGCAGAACTTGCCTTTCCATCCACCTGCCAGTGAAGAGAGCCCCACATTTTTCCTGGTTTCTATTTTATCACCTCTATGAACCATCATCCCTGGTTTTTTTTCCCCACCCAGGTACAATTGGCTCTGCTCCACTGGTCTGGTTTGTGTCTAGAGAGGCTGTATTGGTTTCCTGTTGTTGCTCTAACAAATTACCACAAACATAGTAGCTTATAAGAACAAAAATCTATTACCTTACATTTCTGGAGGTCAGAAGTCCAAAATGGGTCTCATGGGGCTAAAATCGCCCTGGTGGCAGGGCCAGTTCCTTCTAGAGGCTCCAGGTGAAAACCTATTTCCTTGCCTCCTCCACTTTCCTTGTTTCATGTCTGCTTCACTGTCGTCTTATTTCCTTCTCTGACTGACCCTCTTTGCCTCTCTCTTTCACTTAGAAGGATCTTGTGATGACATTGTATCCACCTGGTGACCCAGGATACTCTTCCCCATCTGCAAATTCTCTTCTGTCATGTACCATAGGCACAGGTTCTGGGGATTAGAGTGGGGGAGAAGGCATTACTCTGTCTACCACAGATCCACATTTCACCGGTTTGCGGTTTGGCTTGGGCATCCAGATTTTTATCCAGGAAATTCTCAAGTGTAGGCAAGGCTGAGAACCACTGGCTAAGGAGCAGGGTGATGCAATAGGAGGTACAGGCTACAGAGAGGGACCTAGCTGATCTCAATTCCCAGTTGTGCTTCTTACTCTCTCCTGCTCAGGCAGGTGATTTTACATCTCTGGGTCTCTACTTTCTCCACAGCATGGAGATAATAAACCTGACTTTGTAACATGGAGAAGTGGAGTTAAGAAACTCTCACCTCAGGGCGCCTGGGTGGCTCAGTCGTTAAGCGTCTGCCTTCGGCTCAGGTCATGGTCTCAGGGTCCTGGGATCGAGCCCCGCATCGAGCCCCGCATCGGGCTCCCGGCTCCGCGGGGAGCCTGCTTCTCCCTCTGCCTCTGCCCCTCCTCTCAGGGGTAAGGGGGTGTCTAACAGGATTCTCGCTGAAGGCAGGCCAGGATGGTCAGACATCACTGGGGGGAGGGGGAGGATGAGGAACCCAAGCAGATAGATTTGGAGGGTGGGAGAGTCTTACTAAACTGACTTGGCTAGACTCTAATGAAGGCCACAGGAGCCTCATCAAAAACTGTTCAGAAGAGCCTGACTGAAGTTTGGTCAGAGAGAGAGTGTTTTGTCAGTGTGCGAGCATGCGATGTTTCGCGAGGGTGTGTTCAAGGGCAGATGCACACCACCCAAGGGGTAAGCGAGAGCCTTGAGGCCCCATGGACTCCCCCTTGCCTCCTGCCCCAGGATGGTCTGGCTGGGCCTGGATGCCCAGCCTCTGCCTCCTGCAGCCGGTGCCCACAGCTCCCCTGCCCTCTGCACAGTGTCTAGACAGCTCTTTGCAGACAGATGTTTGGTAGGAGACACACACATTTGAGCCATCAATAGGAATGGGCAAAGAACCTGGAGGCTGTCTGGCCTTATGGGAAGAATGAATCGCCTCAGGGCCTTCTGTGGTTACGTCGTACTCCTGTGTGGTCCTGTGCCAGCCTCCACCCTGATCATCAGATGCCAGAAAAGCTCGGGGGTTTCCCATCTGCAAGCCTGTGCCCCTACAAGTGCCGCCCCTCCCCCCGGCCAGCCAGGCTCCTGCAGGGCCATTCATGCTAGCTGTTGGCTGCACTTCCTTCTCATTGCCCAACCGCAGCCAGTCGATGACCATCACTGACCTGCCTCTGGCGGAAACTGCTTCCTGGTGGAACAACACTCACACTGGACGTACTTTTTCTCTTCAAGTTAACATGTTAAGTCCTTGCGGGGAGGGGGTCACTATCCCCAATTTACAGACAAGGAACATGAGGCAGAGCGTAAAGACCCAGAGCGCATTTGGGTAGTGCCGGACTTCAAACCCATGGAGCTGGATTTAGCTGGTTCTTGGGCCCGACCACCCTGCAGGATGGAAGCAAACTATGTTGAGGGCTGGCACTGTCACATCCCTCCCTCATCTCTCCATCTTGCTGCCAAGACACGGTCCCTGTTTTTACAGAGGCTGAGTGGGTGGCCTGTGGCAAGCCTGCCCCGTCTGTGCCGTGTGGTGCCTCAGAGACTCACCAGCTGCCCAGTTCTTCCTGCCTCGCAGCCTGGTCCCTGTGGCTCACGTGGGACGCGCTCCTGAAGGTGCAGCCCCTGAGACAGTCTTGTCCCTACAAAACCAAGCTGTCTCTGCCTCTGGGAGAATCCTCATCATCCCAACCCAGACTGCCTCCAGTTGGCTGATGCCTCTTCTCTCTCTGGTGCCGCAGTAGTAGCTGTAGCACTTGGCTGGGTGAGGAGGCATCACTGGTCACCAGCTGTGCTGGGTCATTGTGCAGCAAACAGAACTCAGTAGACCTGGGGTGTCCAAACTGCATGTTGTAAAGAATGGATTGGCCCTTGGGATTGGCTCCTGAGAGAACCGCTAAGCCCTTGGAATATCGTGCCTGATAAGAGTGTCTTTCCTTATGGGGGGCCTTAGGCTATGCGAGATAGTCTGCATGATTTATGATGGGGACCCTGAGTCACACTGTATCAGGCTTATCTCTGAGACAGCTGGAGGCTCAGGAACTAAGGTCAGGCATGCAGGCACCCCACATCCATGTGGCCAATCCCCAGTAAATGCCACCAGGCTTGGGTCACCTTCCCTGGCTGCCCATACTCCATGTGTACTGTCGCTCCCAGTGGGGAGTACTACGGAGTCTGTATGACTACACTGAGAGGGCAAGTGGAAGCTTGTACCTGGATTCCAGCTTATCTGCCTTCTACTTCTGTGGTGATCATTTGTATCCTTTTCACTGTAATAAACCCTCAGCCTGTTCTGAGTTGTAGGAGTCCTAGTGAGTCACTGAGCCTGAAGGTGGTCTTGGGGACTCCCTTGCAGTCATTCTGTATTCAGCGTCTCACTGGTTCACTCACTCGTTCCCTCTCAGTTTTGGCCCTGCCATATGCCAGGGGATGGGTCTACAGAGGCACGAGACAGGTGTGTGCTAAAGGGGCCCTGGGTCCAGAGTGGGCTCTGAACGAGGACATGGACAATGACACCACAATGTTCATACTGCCATGGGGGACACGCGGGGAAGACAGGCTGCTTCTGATTCAGCCAGTGAGGAGGTGCCCTGGAGCTGATGCTGACAGGAGACCAACAAGCTGGGCCTGGACAACACAGGGATGACTGGAAAGATGCGCTATGCTGGGTGAATGCAGGGGCTTCAAGGCCAGACCACATCCTGATGGCGCCAGAGAACCCGAGTGAAGCTGTGCGGGAAAGCGAAAGGCTCACACCTGTGATGGAACAAAGGAATGGCTCCACTAGGCACGTAAGCAACATCTAGATTGAGCAATGGCTTCCCAGCTCCTACTTTTTGCCTTTGCCTAAGTCCGCCAGATGGCTCAGTCTGCTTCTTCAGCATGACCCAATCATCCCACCATCTCCCAGTCTCAGAAGAACATTAAATTCTAGAGCTGCCTCCTTACAGTAAATACCCCTTGCATATGCTGAAAGGGATGGAGGGACTGTTGCCACCCTGTCTCCATCTGCTAACTCTAGTATTTTTATCCTGAAAAGTGAATGGCTTCTAGCTGGGGGCCTCAGGCAAGTGGCTTAACCTCTCAAAATCTCAGCTCCTTGGGACACCTGGGTGGCTCAGTCGGTTAAGCGTCTCTCGGTCTCAGCTCAGGTCATGGTCTCAGGGTTGTAAGATCGGGCCCTGCGTCAGGCTCCATGATCAGCACAAAGTCGGCTTGGGATTCTCTCTCTTCTACCCCTTCCCCCCTCAAATAAGTAGGCCTTTAAAAAAAAAAAAAGTCAACTCCTTGTCTATGAAGTGGGGATAAAAATATCTGCATCCCGGGGGGTGCTGAGAGGATGAAATAGAACCATGTGTGTAAGTGCTTACAAAGTGCTAAGGTCTTACATGAATCACTGGCTCAACCGATTCTAACGAATCCTCACGCCAAAGCCGATGAATGACATACAAAGTCTTTTTTAAAGACTGCGACTGGGGACACCTGGGTGGCTCAAATGGTTAAGCGTCTGCCTTCAGCTCAGGTCATGATCCCAGGGTCCTGGGATCGAGCCCCGCATCGGGTTCCCTCCTCGGCGGGAGGCCTGCTTCTCCCTCTCCCACTCCCCCTGCTTGTGCTCTCTCTCTCAAACAAAGTAAGAGCGACTTTGTGACACACCACAGTTCGGCATTATTAACCTTACTTTCTGGCAGAGGAACAAAACAAAAACCATAAGGCTTGAGTTAATACAAGGCACAAACAACTGGAAAGATCTTTTTTTATTTTTTAAAGATTTATTTACCCATTTTAGAGAGAGTGCACGAGCAGGGGGTGGGGGCAGAGGGAGACAGAGAGAGGGAAGCAGACTCCCTGCTGCAGGGCTCATTCCCAGAACCCTGAGATCATGACCTGAGCCAAAACAGAGAACTGGACGCTCAACTGACTGAGCTACCCAGGTGCCCCGAAAAAGCATCTTTTTACCTTTTTTTTTTTTAATTTCATTTTTGCCTTGGCAAAAACTGAAATGAGCTCTGTTCAGGCCTGCCAAGAAGACCGCCCACACCTGTGGATCTCTCCTACCACCTGGTGGGTATCTGTGGGAACCCATATGATGGAAAATGAGAGGGGCTGTTGCTCCCCTTGAAGGCTCACTCAACCGGGTGACCCTGCAGAGAGAAGTGTATCATGGGCAAGGGGGCTGCTCTGCACTGGCCCTGAGTTCCTGACACTCACAGGACCCTCCGCCGGATGAAGGACAGCCAGGTCTCTGCCATGTTTGGCACACCCCCAGTTCACGGATGGATGAGAACCAAACAGCTGCTGAGGGTTTTCTGATACTCGCTGCACTCATGGTGTCCCCTGGGAATGAATTTTCCGATGCTGGACCAGAGATCTGCTCTGGCTGAAGTTTTTCTCACATTTGTGACACTCAAAGGGCTTCTGTCCAGCGTGAACCCTCTGATGCAGAATGAGGGCTGCAGCCTCGCAGAAGGTTTTCCGGCACAGGCTGCATATGAAGGGCTTGGCGCCCGTGTGGACACGCTGGTGCTGCATGAGGTGTGTGCCGCGGCTGAAGGCTTTGCTGCACACATTGCACACGTAGGGCCGCTCCCCTGTGTGCACCCGGTAATGCTCAGTGAGGTGCGACATCTGGATGTAAGCCTTGCCACACTCATTGCACTTGTAAGGCTTCTCCCCAGTGTGTGTCCTGAGGTGGAGGGTGAGGGAGGAGCTCTGCAGGAAGGCCCTTCCACAGTCACCACACACAAAGGGCTTCTCCCCAGTGTGTATCCTCTCGTGCTGGGTGAGGAACTTGCTCTGGCTGAAGGTCTTCCCGCATTTTCCACACATGTAGGGTCGCTCACCCGTGTGCACCCGTTGGTGCAGGACTAGGGCTGAAGAATCGCCGAAGGGTTTCCTGCACTCACTGCATATGAATGGCTTCTCGCCGCTGTGGATCTTGAGGTGCTGGGTCAGGTAGGAGCCCTGGCTGAAGGTCTTTCCGCATTCTCTACACACGTAAGGCCGCTCGCCAGTGTGCACCCGCTGGTGTTTGGCCAGGGAGGAACTCTGGCTGAAAGCATGGCCACAGTCCCCGCATGTGTACGGCTTCTCACCCGTGTGTGTCCTCAGGTGCTTGCTGAGGGATGAGCTCTGGCTGAAGGCTTTCCCACATTCCCGGCATGCGTATGGCTTCTCTCCTGTGTGGCAGCGTTTGTGCTCGGCCAGCGATGAGCTGAGGCTGAACGCCTTGCAGCACGTGCGGCACTCGTAAGGCCTCTCTCCTGTGTGGGTTCTATGGTGGACCAGGAGGGCTGAGGAGTCAGCAAAGGCTCTGCCACACTCACAACAGGCGAACGGCTTCTCCCCAGTGTGGATCCGCTGGTGCTGCACGAGGTGAGTGCTCTGGCTGAAGGCGCGCCCACACTCACCACAGGTGTACGGCTTCTCGCCCGTGTGCACTCGCTGGTGTTTGGCCAGGGAGGAGTTCTCTCGGAAGTGCTTGCCGCAGTGGCTGCACGCATAGGGCTTCTCACCTGTGTGGATGCGCTGGTGCTTAACCAGGGACGAGTTCTTGCTGAAGGCCCGTCCACACTCCTGGCACGTGTACGGCTTCTCACCAGTGTGGGTTCTCTGGTGTTGAACGAGATGTGTGCTCTGTCCAAAGGCCTTCCCACACTCCTCGCACGTGTAGGGCTTCCGTTTATTGGGAATCTGTTGACAGCCCACAAGGCATGTGTTCTTGCCAAAGGCATCTCCCCACCCACCACACACCAATGTGTCCCCCTCGATGTGAGCTCCTTGTGGGTGACTAAGGTCTGGAAAAGAGCTGAGGGCTTCCATACACACTCTTTCTTCTTGGCAGGGGCGCCCCTGATCTAGGACTGAAATGCAGGTGAGGCCCTCTTTGCCAACGTGGCTTGTGGGAGCTTGAGCCCTTGGAGGATTGCACTGATGCTCAGTGAGGAATGGGTGCCAGGAGAAAGTTCCTGCAAAGCTCCACTCTGGGCTCTTCTTTCCCTGGCTGAGTGTCACTGCTTGGCATTGTCTGTCTGCCACCTGGCCTTCATGTCCTGTGACTTCTTTCTGGATGGTGTGCCAGAAATCCTGCCCTGTGAGTCCTACTGTCATCTGCCCCTGACGCAGAGCGCCCTTCTCTAGAGGCAGCCATGCAGCTCGGGGCCCAGGCTCTGAGTCTGAAAAATAAGCAAAGAAACATGCTAAAGCCCTAACCTAAATGTGCACTGCCAATCTGAGGGGGATGGACAGAACCTCAGCAGTCAGACTGGACAACACAGACCTGCGGCTTTCGGGGGGGGCCTGCAGCGAGGACAGAAGAGTGAATGGACCAGGGTCCAGCCCCGCATGGGGCTCCCTGCTCCGCGGGAAGCCTGCTTCTCCCTCTCCCACTCCCCCTGCTTGTGTTCCCTCTCTGGCTATCTCTCTCTGTCAAATAAGTAAAATCTTTAAAAAAAAAAAAAAGGACTCAACAAAGAGTCATACTCTCGGCTGTGACTGATGAGAGCAAATGGACACCAGGCACAATGAACAAAAGGAAAAGGCGCAGGGCGCAGAGTCCTCTCCCAGTGGAGCCACACAGCGTGCACCAAACCCCTTCAGCGCCGGATTCTGACACATGAAGTGTAGTCTACAGTTTGTTAGAGACTCAGTGACCAGGGTTTTACTGGGGGCTGGCCACATATGCACCCACTGTGTAGCATGTACCAAAATTCCAGACTCCCAGAAGAAAAGCAGACATTTAGTATAAACCACATTGTTTGTACAAATGGTTTAGGTGCAGTGAGCCACTCCTAATCGTTTAAGGAATGGTGGGATTCCTCCCCCAAACCACGTTCCCAGACACCAGCCAAAGGCCAACCCTGCACCAGGCCTTCCCAAGAATGTGACCACAGACCTGCTGTCAAGCCTCCTCTGCACAGTGGGGAAGGAAAGTAGTAGAATGGAACACAGAAAGGCATGGGCCAAGGCCACCAAGAGCCACCCTACCTATCAGCTGCCACTGGGGTTGTTTTATAACCACGCCCTTACTGCAACAGGGCCTGGTCAACAGAATGGAAAACAGATACTCAAACAAAAACCTGCACGTGAGTATTCATAGAGCACTATTCCCAGAGAGTAGAAGCCAGACACAAAAAGACCACATATAGTATGCCTGTATCTGTATGCCTGTATCCGTATGCAAAATAAATGAACATATTTATATAAACTTCATTTACATGAAAGGTCAGAACAGGCAAATCATGGAGACAGAAGGCAGATTAGTGGCTGTCGGGTCTGGGGAAGTGACCACTGGAGGACTGTCAGGTTTGTTTTCAGGATCCTGTACCTACTAGCTCTTCCCTGTTTCATGTACATTGCTCCTCCTTGCCCCAGGAGCAGAAATAAACAGATCTGAAGCATGGTGACTATAGTTACAATACTGTATTGTAGACCTCAAATTTCCTACAGGAGTTGATTGTAAGCGTTCTCACCACAGAAAAAATACTGCAACTATGTGAGCTGATGGATATATAAATTAGCTTGATAGTGGTGATCATTTCATAATGTATATGTATATCAAAATACCATGTTGTACACTTTAAATATATACAATTTTTATCTGTCAATTATACCTCAAGAAAAGCTGGGGGGAGGAAAATTAATTTTATAAAACACCTGATCTGACAGACCCTTACTTCACTCACCTGGACCTCTTGGGACATCTCTCTTCACAGTCCAGGGGTCTTCCCACTGCTCCAGCTTGGAGATCACATCTGGTTTGCAATCGGGAAGTCCTGCCCATAGTTAGAAAGTAGGAGGGAAATGTTGACGCTGTTGCCACAGGGAGCCAGGCCCCAACAGGCCCGATAGTGCAGTATGTGTGCCCCAGGCACGGGAGAGGTCTCTCTCTGGTGATGTGGGGTGGGGTGTCCACTCTGTACAGAGGGGACCCAACTGGGGGACACAGGTCAGAGCAAGGACATACCTGGGTGTGGGTTACTGGTGACAAGACATGGGATTAAATATGCACACGTATGTGTGAGCACACATGGAAACACACACACACGGGACATGGATGAAGAGGTGACAGGAAGGCCTCACCCAGGGACACCAAGTTGCTGTAGTTCCTCAGCATCACGTCACGGTATAGGATCCTCTGTGTGGGGCCCAGCAGGCCCCATTCCTCCCGTGTGAAGTCTACAGCCACATCCTTAAATGTCACAGGCTTCTGAAACATCCCCCAGGCAGTGGCTCAGCCATGGGCCCTCTCTGAGCAGGGCCAGCCCCATGGGGAACAGCAGGATGTGAATGTTCTGGGAAACACCCTATTGTCATGAGGGGAGGGGTGTGGCTCACACTGTGAGTGTCACTATTATCACCTTGACACTGGGTACTGCAGTCCCACCTGAATAATTGTGTCTTCTCCAAATTCCTGTTAAAGCTTTACCCCTCAGTGTGAAGGTATTTAGAACTGGGGCCTTTGGGGGGATTAGGTTTAGATGAGGTCATGAGGGTGGGGCCCCAGATGGGACCAATGCCCTCATAAGAAGAAGGAGAGACCATGGGACACCCGGGTGGCTCATTGGTTAGGCCTCTGCCTTCGGCTCAGGTCGTGATCCCAGGGTCCTGGGATCGAGTCCCGCATCGGGCTCCTTGCTCAGTCGGGAGCCTGCTTCTCCCTCTGTCTGCTGCTTCCCCTGCTAAGGTGTTCTCGCTCTGACAAATGAAATCTTAAAAAAAAAAAAAGAGGGAGAGACCAAAGCACGTGTGCTCTCATCTCCTGGCGCAGTGTGTGAGGACACAGGGAGAAGGCCGTCCATCGGCGGGCCAGGAGGAGCCTTTCAGCAGAACCCAGCCCTGCTGGCACCCTCATCTTGGACTTCCAGTCTCCAAAACTGTGAGGAATAATTTTGTTGATTAAGCCACAGTTCATGGTATTTTGCTATAGGAGCCTGAGCAGATTAAGACACAGTGATTCCTCATCACTTCCAAAGCACTCAGCTTTATGGCCCCCAGAGACAGCTGATGGCCCGTCAGCCCCCAACAAAGCCATCTGTCATACCTGCGTGGTCTGCATCCCCTTTAGGGCCGGGCAGGGGAGGCTTGGAGGATGTGATGACATGCAACACCAGCCACATGTGCTCTGGGACCAGTAAGTGTGGCAACAATCCCTCTGCTTGTGTGTGTCTGTCTCCTTGGGGACCCCACGAAGAAAGGGCCTGTCAGCAGGTACCATCAATTTCAGAGTAATCATTTACCATTAACACCCAAAGCCCCCAACCACCTTTCTAAATGCTGCTCAGTACCACCATCCACTCATACGCCAGGCCCTGCTCTGTCCTTTCCCTCGATATTGGCTGATAAACAGGGTGACCATAAAGAGCCTGTGTCCCAGATCGGTCAGGCATGGGATTTCCTCCAAGGTGCCCTAGACTGACAGGGTCACTAAGCCCCACCCTTGAGTGAAGGGAGAAGGAAGAAGAGGAAGAGGAGGAAGAGTGGCCAGGGCAGAGGAAGGGGCCCTGCCCCAGGACTCATGCTCCTTGGGGGCTGTGGCTCCATTCCAGTGGCGAGGCGTAGAAGCATCACAGAAATAGAAAGAGTATGCCTGCTGAGACTGCCGGCACTTTTGGAAACTCACGTGTAAGGCATCTGCTGGGAATGCAGTATCTTGGGCCTTGGGCTTGTCTTCCTTGATGCTCCCCTGAGAAAGAAGAGCTGGGGGAGGGGAGGGGATGTGAGGGAGGCCAGATCTGCCCTCAGGCCCCAGAGACCCAAGCCCCAAAGTCCCCTCACCTCACACCCCTCCCCCCGCCAGCCACTAGACTCTTTCCCAGGGGCCCTGACCCTCCCCCAGGTGTTTCCTCCTGCCCTCCTCACCCTGGGTCTGCTCCCCCTGCTTACCCTCCAGGGCTTGGCAGAACCACAGCCCTCAACATTTACTATGTGCCCGTCATGATGCTTGATCCTCACTCTGCCCCTGTGAGGGACAGTTAGGGTCAACACTACCGGACCCATTTTACAGGAAGGAAATTGAGGCATCGAGGGGTAAGATGCTTGAGTTGAGCTTTTGCATGGAAGCACTCCCACTCTTGTCCCCACCCCTGACCAGCCAGGATAGTGAGTCCTGCGGAGAAAGCTGTGTCCACACAGACAGATGGGGTGACCCACACCCCCCAGGATTAGTCTGGGGATGCGACAGCCCACCTGGACTCTCGTAAAGGGGTCTACACAGCCACCATGGATCCAGGGTGACCCAGAGGATGACAAATACCTGGAGTAGGAAACCCTGGACCCACAGGTCCACTGTGTGCCACTAACTGGCCATAGCCCTGCTCTGGGCCTATTTCTTCCTGGGTACAGAAAGGACAGGCTCCTGGGAGAATGGATGGCATTACGTCTTAGAAAGTCTTTGTGAAGTGAAACCTTACATAGGAACACCTCATGGTGTCCTTGCTGCCAGAAGCCACACCACCTTTACATCCTCCATCCCGTCCTGGCTCCCACGCTGGGCAGGGGGTCACTGAGCTCAGAGTCCCACAAAAAGCAGTCCTATGATTTGATACTTGGAGGCTGCGCCTCAGACCCCTGCTCTAAAACAGGAACTATCCATGAGCCGAGGCCGAGTCCCCGAGGGCAGCTGCAGCTGCGTGTGTTGCAACTCAATGCCATCCCCAGGGCGCAAACTTCTCAGGGGCTTGCTGTGCAATTCTGGCCAAGTTCCCTAACACAAGGAAAAAGAAGTACTATCATCACTCTGTTATACAGGTAGGGAGAGGGGGCCAGAGAGAGGTTAAATCAAAGATATGAAGCAAGTGATGGGTTGGGATCTGAACCCACACAGTCAGACTTGAGTTTGTGCTTTCAAAAATATATATTTTTAATAGAGGTACGAGTGCTCAGTTCAATGAGTTTTGACCAATGCACACACCTACATAGCCACTGTCTAGATCAAGCTCTAGAACTTTCTGTGAGGATGGAAATGTTCTGGAGCTGTGCTGTCCAATTCATCAGCCATCAGCTCCATGTGGCTCCCGAACAGTAGAAACACAGGTGGTGTGACTGAGAAACTAGATGTGTAATTTGAAGTTTAACTGATTCACGTTTTAATATCTCCATGTGGCTCTTAGCTACCATTTTGGACACCTCAGTACTAGGACTTTCAGCACCACGGACAGCTCCCGACATGCACCCCTGGAAGGGGGATACTAAAATGTGAATCAGTTAAACTCTCCCTGGCCCCAGGGTGACTGCAGCTGAGATTCTGACAGCACACAAGTTGTGCCTATTCTTGAACTTCATACAAAGTAAATCATATGCCGTGTGACAGTCTCTGCCCCATGCTATCAGGTTTATGGACATCACTGGCAGCAGGTCATTTTGGGGACAAAGTGAGAGACCAGGTAGGCAAGTGCTCTGAGGGAAAAGCAATAGTCTCAGCTGTCCTGAATTCAGATCCTATGAGACTCCCAGGAATGAAGGGCTGCTGTGGGGCTTTTTGCCCCTCCCCACAGGGGCAAGAGTGGCAAGCTGATCCCTGGGGCCCCGATGTACCAAGTGCCCATACCTTCTTCCCAGTGTCATTCCTAGGGTGGAAACAGTGAATGTGAGGGGTAAGTGGAGTCTGTCAGACCTAGGATCAAATCCACCTTACCACTCTCTGCTGAGTGACCCTGGGTTGCTCAATTCACCTAAAGCCTGGGTTTTCTATCTGTACAACCGGGTAATAGTACTTTTTGCAGAAGGGTGTCTGTTCACTCATTCATTTAAGAAATACTCCATGGACTGTGCACCACATCATGACACTCACAGTCTATGATAAATGGGAACAAGTATACAGTCTTCGAATGTGGCTAAGTGCTAAAAAACATAATGTAGATGTGTGTGGCACCTGTTTTGAATCAGGTGGCCAGGGAGGGCCTCTGAGGTAATATCTAAGCTTCAATGCTATTCAGTGGCCAGGGGGATGGGCAAAGGGAAAGCTGTAGGGTGAGGCCTGGAAACAGGCAGAAATCAGGTCATGCAGGGCCCAGAAGACATGGGAAGAAGTGTGGATTTGGTCACATCAGGGGTCAGCAAACTCAGCCCCACTGCCTATTTCTGTACAGACTGTGAGCTAAGAAGAGTTTCTCCATTTTTCAGTGGTTGGGAGGGAAAAATCATCAGAAGATTAATGTTACATGAACTTCAGATTTCAGCGTTGGATAAAGTTCTGGATTTCACCGGGGGAAAAAATATGTGGGTATGTGTTTTCTCTCTTGTTAGGTAAGTACCTACCTGACATCTTTGGTTTTGCCTCTTGGCCTACAAAGCTGAAAACATTTGCTACCTGGTGCTTTACAGGAAGAGTGTGCCAACCCCGATGTGACAACCAGGGCAGGGATGGAAGGTTGAAGGGAGAGGTAGCCTCACCGTTCAGGGTTTAAAGACCCCTCCGGTGCGGTGTGGAGAGCAATGGTGGGAGGAAGGGGAGGCCGGAGACCTGTGAAGAGGTGGTAGTCTGGACTAGGCTGAGGATGGCAGCGCACTAGAGTGAAGGCAGCAGGAGCAGGGCCTGTTCTGAGGAAAATCTGGTTTCTGAAAATGTCCAGCCCTATGACCACCACCCTGACACGTGCCTCACCTGGCTCCTCAGGCTCCATCGCCTGCCACTCTGCTCTGTCTTTGGGCTGTTTGACCTCAGCAGCTACAGGATAGGGGGCATGTGGTCTCAGTCCCAGACAGAGATCCCAGGTTGTGGGTGAGTCTTGCAGGGAAGGGTTCCAGTTCCCAGAGCCACTGCCTCCTCCCATCTACTCCCATACAGCGGTCAGGCTCCTGGCTTTCACTTCGGGGCTCAGGGCCGGGATTCTGGAAAATGAAATACTGCTGGATGAGCAAAGGCAACAGGAGCAGGTGTGACCATACACATGAGCTTCCCTGGGACAGACCCAACTACCTCCTCCCTCCAAACTGAAAACACATGTCCACACAAAAACCTGTATGTGAGTGTTCACAGTAGCATTATCTGGGTAAACAAACTGTGGTATAGCCACACAATGGATTATTATTCAGCTATAAAAATGAGTGAAGCACTGATACATGGCACAACATGGACTTTAAAAACATTATGCTCAATGAAAGAAGCCAGACACAAAAAAGCCACCTGTTGTATGATCCCATTTATATCGCATGTCCAGAACAGACAGAGATTAATCAACGGAAAGTAGATTAACGGTTGCCAGGGGCTGGAGGAAAGGGGAATGGGAGTGATGGCTAAAGGGTACAGGCCATAGGTACACACCTGAGGTCACACCTCCAGACACAAAGGGGTGTCACACACACAAAACATCCCTTCCCCACAAACACGCACGGCGACACACCTGACCACTCACACGCACCTGAGGTCTCATCTGCACACACAAATGGTGCCAAACGTGCAATACACTCTTTCCCTGGGACATGCACAAGTGGTAACACATCCAGGCAAATGCACATACCTGAGGTCACATCTGCACACAGAGGCACTGCCGCACACACAAGTGGTGTCTCGCCAGCAAGACACCCTTTCCCTCCGAAACGCACACGTGGGGACACACTCGGCCACATGCACACACCTGAGGTACACCTGCGCACACAAACGCCGACGCACTGGGTCCCCACACAGCTGAGGTCTCATATGCACACGCAGGTGGTACCTCACCTGCAAAACACCCCTCCTCTCTGACACGCACACGTGCGTGTCACGTTCGGCCACACACAGCTGAGGTCCCACGGGCACGCCCAGATCTCTCCTTCTCGTCCTTCGGCACGCGCACGCGCCCACGGTCCCTCCTTTCTCCCCGCCCCCGCGACCCATCCCCGGGTCCGCGCTGCCCTCCGGGCCCCACCCGGCCACTCAGTCACTACCACCGCATGCACACACGGGCCTCGCCGTCCCTCACACTCACAGAAGCCCTGAGGCCGGAACCGCAGACTCACCACAGCGCCGACCCCTCACAGAGCGGGGCGGCGCCGCCAGCCGCCGAGGTGCGCACACTCGCCGAAGGCACTTCCGGTCCGCACTTCCGCCGATGGCCCGAACGCTGAGTTCGGGACTTTATCTCCCAGAGGGCCCTGCCCGCTGCGCGCCCGGAACCGGCCGGGCGCAGGATGAAGGGTCTTCTGGGAAATGAAGTCCACAGGGCGACGGCGCGGGCACGGCGCCGTGGGAACGGGGCTGCTCTGCGCCGCGGGCGTGGGGGACCGGACGCATATCGACTCGCGTGGGCTATGTACACACACAGCGTCTTTTTCTTTTCGCACACACGTACATCCATACGTGTCTCTATAGTTTGGGGAATTTTCTCCCCCGAACCCTGTTCTCCTGTAACGTTTCAGCAGATGTCCTCGAAGAACCAGTACATTCTTCCGCCTACCCGAGAAACGACACTGAAACCCACGATTACCTACTCCGTAGGCTATATGCCCATTTCTCCCAATGACGTCGTACGTACCTCTTTGTTTTCATCTTTTATTCAAGCCCAAATAAAAAAACCACGCACTGCACTCCGCTGACTCCTGACGCGCAGGCTGGCCTTCTCGGCTCTTCTCACTAGTCAGTTGATCACAAGGGGAGATTTAAAAAAATCCTCTCTGCCACTTACCTTCGACCAGCTTTGTGTAAAACAACTTTCTAGAGATGAGGGGGATGTTCTGTGTGTAACCAGTGAGCAGTTGAAATGTGGTTGATGTGATGGAGGAAGTCAATTTTTATTTTATTATTTTTTAAAGATTTTATTTGATAGAGACCCAGTGAGAGAAGGAACACAGCAGGGGGAGTGGCAGAGGGAGAAGCAGGCTCCCCGTGGAGCAGGGAGCCCGATGTGGGGCTCGATCCCAGGACCCCGGGATCATGACCTGAGCCGAAGGCAGACGCTTAACGACTGAGCCACCCAGGCGCCCCTCAATTTTTATTTTAATTTTGGGTGAATTTAAAATTACATTTAAATAGCTACATGTGGTTAGTGACTACCAACGTTGGACAACTTAGAACATCTGGAAGATGTTCACCTTGGATCTCCTTACAAGAGACCTATAGGAGACTTCTTCAGACTGGATGCAGATTTCTTCCTAATTACCGTTTGCACAAACGACTTGAATATCTCTGAAGATGTACAAGGAGATACTGAATGGGCAACTTGGCTCACTCATGTGTGGGCTCTCATAATTTGGGCTGGATACAGGGAATTTAATAAAATAACTTGAAAATTTATGTGCTAAAATGTATGTGCTAGTTTATAGCTTGCAGAAAAATTCATGGAGTCAAAGCTATTTTACACTTAACTGGTTCCATTAACTCAATGCTCAGATATGTGTGCATTGGGTTAGTTTGTAGCTTAGTGTGGCTAAGAATTTAGTGTGTGTGTGTAGGTGCAACAGAAAATGAAGCCAATGATCAAACTTACTTTAATTTGCAACAGTTGAGATTTTTAATTTAAAATTTATTTTATGAACTGGTAATACTTTTACATGTTTCAAAGTTCTAAAAATATCAAAAGATATAGAGTGAAAATTATTCCTCATCCCTCTCCCCCCAGTTCTCCTCCCCAAGAGCAACTAGTATGCCTGGTTACTTTGTACCCTTAGGAGTGTGTGTGTTATGCGTGTATAAACCAATGTTTTTTTACACAAATAGAAACATACTTTACACACTGTTTTATACCTCTTCACTTAACAATTATCTTGGAGCTCTTTCCCATATTATTACATAAAGACAGTCCCCATTTTTTAAAGCTGTGTAGTTCTCCACTCCACCGTAAATCTCCAGCCAAGTTCCCCATGGTGGACATTGAGGTTGTTTACAAATTTTTACTTCTGAAAGCAATACCATAGTGAGACCATGTACAAACAGTCTACAACATACAAATAAATCTGTTGCATTCACTCCCAGCAACAGGTTTACTGAGACAAAGAGTTGTGTGTTTCAAATCTTGGATAGCAACTAATAAATCGTCCTTCACAGAGGCCGTATCCATTTATACTCCCCTTGGAAATGTGTAGGAAACCTTCCCCCCCCCCACCACCCTTTTGGATAAAAGTCAAGGCTGATAAAATGCTAGGTGGTCACACTGCTACAATCCTCCTGAAAGGTAATTTAAAAAGCTACATGAAATTGTCAGAGGAAGATGCTCAAAATATAGTAAGAAGCATGTATTACAAGAGAACTAGAAAGTTCCCATTTTCTAAACACAACAATACTATAAATATATTTGTGTGTGTGTATAACATCTAGTGTACACCATATGTATACATGTATATTTTTAAGAAAAATTACAGGAAAATTAACAAAATCTTAATGGTAGTGACCATCTCTAAATAGATGTATGAGGAATTAAATTTTACTTCTGTGCATTTTCCACATTTGCAGTAAAGAATTTACATTACTTTTATAAACTGATAAAACCATGTATTCTGTAGTTAATAGTAACCTCCCCTGAGGGGTTTATCTGACTGTTTCAAAATATCTATAAGGAAACGAGCAGGAATATTATGCCTAGAAAACATGACCTGAAATGAGAAAAAGAAAATTTATAAAGATCTCTGTTGTCTAGAGAGGAAGCCAAGTGATGAGCTTGTTCCCAGCTTACCCACTGAGGCCACTGTAACCTCAGCCCACCCAGGAAATACTGAGACTGTGGAAACAAGATCCTTCAGAAGCTGCCATTTTGGGGCTGAGGTGGAGGGAAAGGGGCAGCTGTAAGCCTGGCTTCTAGAGCTGTCTAGAACCATGAAGTTACCGCTGGGTGTCCAGAGGTAACTGCCCCCCAGAGGGCACTGATAGGTGGAACACTCCCAAATCTGCACCCCACAGGACAGGCAGGAGGAATGGTCAAAAGTGGGGCTTATCCATGTTTTACAATGTCCATGATAAAATGCTAAAATTTAGATCAAAAATAAGTAGATTCTCTTCATTTTCTCACACCAATTAGGATTGCTGCAAAATGGTCAAAAAAATTACTAGGAAACATTTGTGTATAAAACAGTTAATGATATCATTTGTTACAATCAAAGCTATAGGACTGTTAGTATAGCCCTCATCAATTTAGAATCTTTCTGGAAAAAGTTGGTTGTAGTGCTGGGTATGGTTTCTCTACCCTGGCATATTTGTGGCTAGATAATTCTTTGTTGAGGGGGCTGTCTTGGGCATTATAGGATGTTCAGCAGCATCCTCTACCCACTAGCTGCCAAGTGGCACCCCTCTGTTCTGCCTGTTATGACAACCAAAAATGTCTCTAAACATCACCAAATGTCTCCTGGAGGACAAATCTACCCCAACTGAGAACCTCTGGTTTAAACAACACTGACCGTTTCAAGGCAATGGCTTTCAGTAGAAGCTGTGACACTCCCAGGGAATGTAGTAGAATTTCACGGGAGCTTTTTTTGTCATTTGATCTGGACATGAATGTGGCTGACATGTGGGTGGGGGCCAAGTGTGCTCTAATGACTGTGAAGTGCAGAACAGGCCCCTGTGGACCATGTATGTATGTATGTAACAACCAGTTTGTAATGTATGAACTGACAGCCTAAGTCAACTTCACATATAAACACAAATTAACTCCTGCATGCTTAGAATTTTATACAGAATTTTCCAGAAATGCAGTGGTATTTTGTTTCGTTCAAAACTTTTGCAAGAGTTAGTCACCACTTAAGAAAATCACATCTCATACAGGAACGCCCCTCACAATACTTCCATGGCCAACACTATTTCCCATATATACCAGATGACAATAGCCAATGCCCCAGGTGTCCAGGCATAATGGCCCACACAGTCACATGGAGAGATACCACACCCACTTAGTACACATTACTTTACCATAAATTACTTTTGTTTTAATTATGCTTTACAAAAAGGGGCCATATATTGATTTTTTACAGTACACATGTGTGTAGGTTACATTACCTGTAAATTCATCTTGGAGTAATATAAGGAATAGCACAAAACACCTGTGGTTAACGGGGGGCACTGAGCTTGACAGATTTGAGAACCATCAATCTCAGGTATTTGGAAAGCACCATTTCCTTAAATCAGAGGTCACCTTAGGCATTTCTACCCCCAGTCCCCTTTTCCATGAATGCACTATGTGGACTTACCACATTTTTGTACCTGTGGTTCAAAAGTCATCTGTAGAGTTTCTTTCCTATGAGGATTCTCTTATGTCGAGTAACACAGAAGCACCCATGGAAGACTCTTCAACCCCAATAACGTGAACTGGGTTTTTCTCTTGCATGATTTCATGGATGTCAAACAGGGCAAGTGCCCGGCTCGCAGGCTGGCCTGCCTTTGTCCCGCCCCCAGGGTTCTCACTTGAGTGTGTATGCTGATGGCGGCCAAGGTGTGAGCTCCGGCCAAAGGACTGCTCAAGCCGTCGCCGGTTCCGTCCCTGGGGCTCCTCTCTGGTGTGAGTTATCTGGTGTCGGATGAGGTGCGAGCTCTGAATAAAACATTTCCCACAGTGATTACACTTAAAAGGCCTGTCGCTCCGGTGGGCTCTCTCATCTGGATTCAAAGGTGGGTCACAGCCGAGGGCTTCTGTCCATTCATGCTTTGTTAAAGCGGGTGTCTGCTCAAAGATTAGCCTCTGGCGGCACTCATAGGGCTTCTCCCCAGCATGCTTTCGCTGATGCTGGGCCAGAGAGGAGCTGTGCCTGAAGCCCTTCCCACAGTGGTTGCACTCATAGGGCCTCTCCTCTGTGTGCGTCCTCAGATGCAGGAACAGGCAAGTGGTCCGTGAGAAGGATTTCCCACACACGCTACAAGTGTATGGCTTCTCTCCAGTGTGTGTCCGCTTGTGCCGACCCAGGGATGAATTCTGGTTGAAGGCCCGCCCACAGTCCTGACATTCATAGGGTTTCTCTCCAGTGTGAATTCTCCGATGGACTGTAAGGTGTGTGCTATGGCAGAAAGACTTCCCACACTCGGCACATTTATAGGGCTTGTCTCCTGTGTGGATTCGCTCATGCTGAACCAGGGAGGAGTTCTGGCTGAAGGCTTTCCCACATTCTTTGCACATATAAGGTCTTTCTCCCGTGTGAATCCTCTTATGCACTGTGAGATGTGCGTTGTGGTTAAACGACTTCCCGCAGTCTGTACATTTGTAGGGCTTATCCTGTACCTGGCTTCGTGTGAGTTCCGTAATTGGAATGGCCTGACTAGAAGTTTTGCTACAGTCACTGCTGTCACATGGCTCTTTTCCTGAGGAGCCTGTCTGCTGACTGACTAAGCTTGAGTTACATTCTGAGTTTATAACCTGTGAGTCATAAGCACAGAGATAGTCTCTCCTAGAAATCTCCGGGAATGGATTTAGGTTTGAGCTCAGGACACCATTTTCCCCAAGTCTGAGACTTTCATAGCTTTTATCTTGAATTGGTGCTTCCTCGAGGCTTAATTCCAATTGCCTCAAATTATTCTGTTCCTTCTCAGGCAACTTCACCTGGCCCTTACATTCCCAGTCTTCCCCTAGTATGGTGGGACAGGGAGCATCCCTCAGGAAGCCTTCCCTTTCGGTGACACAGGATGTCTCCACCTCAGGAAGGCCAAGCTCCTTGGGCAGCGCTTGGCTTTGAGGTCCAGGCTCCCGGCCTAAAAGAATACCAAAGAGCTCTGAGGGAGTTGGTGGAAAAAACACAGAGAGGGTGACAGGCCCTCCCTTCCAGACTCCCTAGTGGCTGGGGAAGGGTAGGTGGATGTGATCCAGTCCCAACCAAGGAGACCTCAATGGATGAAATCTGGAGTTCTGATAAAAGGGGACAATGTGACTGGTACTATTCTTCCTACTTCCCTCTCCCTCTGCCTGAAGCACTGGACGTGATGGCCAGAGCTGCTGCATCCATGCCATAACCCAAGGAAAAGCCAGAAGAATCAGAACCACCAGCCCCGGCAACAATGGAATGCTGAGCCAGAGGCAGCAGTGGTTGCTTTGTGGAAAAAAAAAAAAAAAAAGCTTCTTTTTTTGAGCTGCTCTAGCCCAGTTTTCAGGTATTTACAGAGGAACACAATTCTTTTTGCTAAGAGAACAGATGGATGTGGAGAACAGGTTTACAGAATCTGGACATGAAAGAATAAAATGGAGAAGATGGAGGGCAAGTTCACACATTAGAAATGATCCTGTGGAGGGGCACCTGGCTGGCTCAGTCTGTAGAGCATGCAACTCTTGATCTCAAGGTTGTGAGTTCAAGCCCTACGTTGGGGGCAGAGATTACTTAAAAATAACATCTTAGGGGCCCCTGGGTGGCTCAGTTGGTTAAGCGTCTGCCTTCGGCTCAGGTCATGATCCCAGGGTCCTGGGATCGAGCCCCGCATCAGGCTCCCTGCTGAGCGGGGAGCCTGCTTCTCCCTCTCTCACTCCCCCTGCTTGTGTTCCCTCTCTCGCTGTGTCTCTCTCTGTCAAATAAATAAATAAAATCTTTTAAAAAAATTAAAAAAAAAATGCACCAAGAAAACTGCCAAAAGGGGCGCCTGGGTGGCTCAGTCGTTAAGCGTCTGCCTTTGGCTCAGGTCATGATCCCAGGGTCCTGGGATCGAGCCCCGCATTGGGCTCCCTGCTCCGCGGGAAGCCTGCTTCTCCCTCTCCCACTCCCCCTGCTTGTGTTCCCTCTCTCGCTGTGTCTCTGTCAAATGAATAAATAAAATCTTAAAAAAAAAAAAAAAATCTTAAAGAAAAAAAAAGAAAAAGAAATGATCCTGTGGAAAGGGCATGCTCAGACGGCTGTTGAGAGAGACCGTGAGGGAGGAAGGGGTGGGATTCTGACGACTGGAGAAGGGCAGATGGGGAGCATGGATGAGGAAAACAAGGCGTACAGAAGCAGCATGCAGACCTGTGCAGACAAGAGCTAACAGGGCAGGCCTGAGGCTGCCATCCTTAGAAAGGCCAGCTTTTGAGACTGGCCCTGGGAATTTGGATTTCAGGAGAGTTCCCACCACTCTAACTGATCAGAGTGGCTCACTGTGCCCAAACTGTGCCAACAATAGGGTTTATGGTGAATACCTGCTTTCTCCTGGGAGTCTAGAATCTTGGTCCATGTCAGGCACAGGGTGCCTACGGCCATCCCCCAGGGAAACCCCCTGGCCTGGAGCCTCTAACAAGTTTCCCTGGTAGCTAAGATTTCTCAAAGGTTGTCACAACTCATGGCTGGGGGGACTAAGCATGTCCCATGTGACTCTGCTGGGAGAGACCTCTGGAGTCTTGGCTGGCTTCTGGACTTCACCCCTTCAGCATTTTCTTCTTGCTAACTTTCCTCTATATTCTTTCACTGGATCTTTGGGTGGTCTTGGGGACCCTGACACACCCCTCTTTCCAAGCAGCACATCTGCAGTCACCTGTTGGGCTGCTCCCATTAGGCAGCATCTCACCTGGACAGTAGCCCTGGGCAATTCCTCTCTCTGCTGCCCATAGCTCAGCCCCTTGCTCCAGCTGGGAGATGACTTCAGGTTTTGGAAGCTCAGGCCCTGGAAAAAGGGAAAGACACAGGATGTGTGGATCTGCTACAGAGAGAAAGAACCAGCTTAGGATCCAGCCCTAGACTCCTGATAGGGCATGAGGGCATCTCACAATAAGGTGAAAACTTTGCATTGGGACAGAAAAGGGCAGAAACCCCCCTGCCCATTTGTTCCACAGGGAATGAGAATGCAAGATCTCTAATCCCCAGCCCAAGGTCAAGTCCTCATACCAGAGGCCCTATGACCTATAACCCATGAATAATAAGTCACTGCAGGAATCTGATCATCAGCTGGGGAAGCAGGCCTTACCCACAGACAGCAGATGCCCAAAGGTCTCCAGCATCACGTCACGATACAGGGTTCTCTGGGCAGGGCCCAGCTGCCCCCACTCTTCCTGGGTGAAGTCCACCGCCACATCCCGGAAGGTCACCGGCTCCTGAAACACCACACACACTCTTGAACAGCTCAACTGTGTCCATCAGTGCTCCCAGGAAGAGGAGGAGGAATGGGGATGCAGAGGACAGGCAGGCCAGTGTCCTGAGAGAGTGCGTGTTCTGAGTAATGTGAGTCAGGGCTCACTGGAGGCAGGTGCAAGTAGCCAAGCAAGATCAAAGCTAACCACAGCTGATCTACAACTGATCTCAGACAGGTGCAGGCGCAGAGACTGCTGACTTGCTTATGGGTGGGCTAAAGAAATGGCTACTGGTTTAAGCCACTAAGTTTTGGGATAGTTACCCAGTAACATCTAACTGTTACTTTGAATGAATCCTCTGATTCATTCCAAGCAAGGCTCATTATCCTCCCTGAAAAGAGGGGTTTACAGTTGGAGTCAGAAACTCACCTACCTTTAGGGACCAGGCAGGCTCATCAGTGAGTGAAATGGGCTATTTTAAGAGCCTACAAGAGTACTTAATCTGTGAGAGGTGACACTGAAGGTGACGGGTAACATGTGCACTGTTTGAAGGGGCAGCTGGGACTCAGAACCAACTGATCATGGGGAAATGCAGGGCTCATATGGTCAGAATTGCCAATCTGTAGTGAGTAGCTAAAAATTTGGTCAAATTTTTAAATGAACACTTTAAGTTGATGCAATGTATTTAAAACATGTCCCACAGGGGCGCCTGGGTGGCTCAGTCGTTAGGTATCTGCCTTCGGCTCAGGTCATGATCCCAGGGTCCTGGGATTGAGCCCCACATCAGGCTCCCTGCTCCACGGGAAGCCTGCTTCTCCCTCTCCCACTCCCCCTGCTTGTGTTCCCTCTCTCGCCGTGTCTCTTTCTGTCAAATAAATAAATAAAATCTTTAAAAAATAAAAATAATAAATAATAAAACATGTCCCACAAATCAAACCCTTCTGTGGGCTGGGTGTGGCCGCTGTCAAAAGCTAGGTATTTCTGGATCCAAGTTTTGACTCTGCCACTTCCTCCTCAAGACGTATACGCAGGTACCCACTTCTACTTCCTTGTTTCCATGTCTACAAAGAATCACTCCTTGGGGGCTGTGATGGGGAATAAGCAGCTGTAAAACACTTTCTACAGGACAACATGCAAAAGAATAAAGTCGGTCCCCTACCTCACAGCATATAAAAAGTTAATTCAAAATGGATAAAAGACAAAATATAAGAGCTAGGACTATTAAACTCTTAGAAAAAAACGCAGTGATAAATCTTCACAATCTTGGATTGGCAAACGATTCTTAGATATGAGAGCAAAAGCACAAGCAATGAAATAAAAAATAAGTAAGTTGGACTTCATCAAAATTAAAAAGTTTTGTGCTCCAAAGGACACTATCAAGAAAGTGGGGGAAAAAAAAAAAGTGAAAAGCCATCCACATGCTGGGAAATAACAATAGCAAATCACACATCTGGTAAATGACTTGTATCCAGATACTATACCTCCTACAACTCAATAACAACAACAATCCAAGCAAGGCTCATTATCCTCCCTGAAAAGAGGGGTTTACAGTTGGAGTCAGAAACTCCAAAGGGAGTTTGGGGCAAAGGATCTAGACAGGTATTTCTTCAAAGAAAATATAAAATATACAAATACTGAATAAACACATGAAAAGATGCTCAGCATCATTAGCCACCAGGGAAATGCAAATCAAAATCACCTACTAAATACCTCAATTATAAAAGGGTATTTTAAGAAAAACACAAGTATATTTTAAAATATTAAAGAAATTATAGTATACATGGCATATGGCTGACAAAAATTGTGCAGGAAGCACGAAGAACCCTTTGGTTGGGAACAGAGGTCTCTGTTCCTGTCCCCATGTCATCACCTCCCAGTCAGAAGGTCCTCCTGCCTCCCCCACTCTGCATGGGTTGTCAGTGGCAGCCCAGGCACCAGGTCCACTGAGTACTGGTCTGTCCAGGCCATAAGACCTCTCAGTAGCAGCACATGAATCCTTCATGTCTCCCCCTGAAATTCTAGCAGGAGCCCATTCCTTGTCCTTCTAAGGGGAGAGTGGAGGGAGACTTAACTATAGAAGACAAAAGGCAATGTGACCACTAAAGCAAGATGCCATGCTGCCGGCCTTGACAAAGGGCCACTGCCATTAGCCAAGGAATACAAGATCTACAGCTGTAATAGAAAAGACAAGAAAACCGATTCTCCCCTAGATTCTCCACAGGAAGAGTGGCTCTGCCCACATCTTGATTTCAGCCCAGTGAAAATGATTTCAGACTTCTTACCCCCAGAACTTTAAGAATAAATGTGCACTGCTTTAAGCCACCAAATCTGCGGTGCTCTGTTATAGCAGCCCCAGGAAGCTTACACTGGACCCCAAAGCCCTCTACTTCCTTGCCTTGTGTGCAAGGCCAAGGCTGCCTTGGCCAGCCTCCAAGACAGCTCCCAATGATCCCCAGCCCTTATGTAGTTGTATAGTCCCCTCCTATTATGTGCATGTTTGACCTGTGTAACCAACAGGATATTGTGCAAATGACAGTGTGTAAATCCTGACCCCGGAGCACAGAAGGCATTGGGGCTTCTACCTTGTCCTCTCCTGGATCACTCACTTTTTGGGAAGCCAGATGCCAAGTTGTGAGGACAGCCAAGCAGCTCCACAGAGAGGCCCACATGGGAAGGAACTACTAACTGCCATGTGAGTGAGCCATCTTTGGAGATGGATCCTCTAGCCCTAGTCAAGTCCCAGATGACAACAGTCCAGACTGACATCTTAATCATAACCTCATGCGCCCAGGCCAGAACCACCAGCTAAATCATTTGAGGATTTCTATCATCAGAAACTGAAGTAATATTTATTGTTGTTTTGGACCACTTAGTTTTAGGTTATTTGTTACACAGCAACAGATAACTAATACACTTTCTCTTACTGCTAACAAAGATTTTCTCCTCTGAACCTTCTTCTCAACTAGGTCTTGATCTCTGGGCTTCTGTGTCCGTTTTGCATCACCCAGATTCATAAAGGGTTGGTTTAGTCAGAATCCCCACCCATCATATCTGATCACTCTCCATAACTTTTCAAAGTCCTCATCCCCTACAATCCTCCAGGCAATATCTGATCACTTGGCCTGCTTCGACAAGAATCCTGTTAGAGGGGTGCCTCAGTCGTTAAACGTCTGCCTTTGGCTGGGGTCATGATCCCGGGCTCCCTGCTTCTCCCTCTCCCACTCCCCCTGCTTGTATTCCCTCTCTTGCTGTGTCTCTCTCTGTCAAATAAATAAATAAAATCTTAAGAAAAAAAAAAAAAGAATCCTGTTAGGTCACGGGGCGCCTGGGTGGCTCAGTCAGTTAAGCATCTTACTCTTGGTTTCAGCCCAGGTCATGATCTAAGGGTCATGAGATCAAGCCCCACATTGGGCTCCGTGCTCAGCGCAGAGTCTGCTGGAGATTCTCTCCCCAACCCCCGCCCCGCTCATGCGCTCTCTAAAATAAATAAAATCTTAAAAATAATAATAACAGTAACAATAACAATAATAATAAAGTATCCTGTTAGGTCAGTTTAGCAAGAATTACACCCACCCCTGACCCCAGGTATAAATTCCCACCTTTACTTGTATTTGGAAGTTTCTTTCTCCCATTCCAAAAGTTTCTGAATAAAATCTCTTTTGATTGCTTTAATTACTATCCAGCTGTTTTACTTTGACAATGCTCATTCCCTGTCACACCCCAACCACAGCAAAAGCAAAATAAAGGGTGATTGCACTATTAATGCGCATCTGAAAACATGCAAATCTAAGGTTATCAATAGTCTCATTTGGCATGATAAATCTGAAATAATGCAAATCCTTGTAAACAACAACAAGACAGTAAGTGCAGAATTTCAAAGATGTGGCAATTCAGGAATTATGAATTATTTTTGGTTTCTGCCACGTGGAGACAGCACTTTGTGGGGAACACAGGCAGCGGCCACTTTGTCTAGAAATGCGGGAGCTTTGAATCAGGCACCTTCCCAGATGACCTTGCAAGCACGGACCGCCCGGTGCTGCAGTTCACCCACAGCCGCCGCGGGGAATGTGGGGGGGGGGGGCCCGGTAGCCGCTCCCGCCCCACTAATGCGGTGCGTGGTGACCTGTCCTTACCCTCAGAGGCTGGGCCAGGGGCCTCGCGGAGCAGGGCTCTCGGTGGCTGGTCTGTTCGGTTAATACCTGCCATCTCGGCGCCCCACTGACACCAGTTACTATTACCCGTCACGCAGCAGTTGGCCTCCGGGGCGCGGGGAAGGCTACGCGACCGAGCCGCGCCAGCCCTGTCCTAGGGAACGAGCCTAAGGCCAGGCCCAGAACCGGGAAGGAGGAGAACCGGCGGAGCATGCGCACTCGGGGAGCGGATGGCCGGGTTCGAGTCCCAGCTCCACCCTCACCAGTGGGGCAGGCAGCGCGCCCCGACCTGTGCCTCCGTTTTCTCCCGTGTAAAGAGCGATAAGGCCCGGGCCCCGCTCAGCGTGCGCTGCGAGGGTTAAAGGGTCGACACCTGCGGGAGACGCTCGGCCCGCTGCCATCCTTGTTATTATTATTATTGTTACCTGAAGCCATTCCGCTGGCAGCCCCGTAGTCATCGCCAGTGCTGTCGCTTCCTCTTCGGGGTTCATCCAGGACCGAAAGGTCGAGAAGAGGAGCCCGAAGCGCCCGTAAACCCGAGAGCAGCCCCGGCCTCAGGGACCACTCCACTCGCCGCCCGCCGGACAATGGCGGCCGCACTGGTGACGCTGCGACTACAACTCCCAGAAGACAGTGCGGCGCGCCGCAGCGCCCGACCAATGGAAGCCTTGGCTCGTCGAGCCTCCCACCAATGGGAGCCTTGTGGCTTCAGGTCAATGGGACCGGCCGGCCGTGGGGCCTCCGGCCACTGGGGGTGCTCCTGCCACAGACCCCGGCGAGGCGGTGCCGGGCGCGGGGGCCCGGCGGGGGGCGGCGGGTGGTGACTCCGGGCGGCGGCGCACGCCGCGGTGCCGGGCAGCTGGGCGTCTCCGTGCCCGGGGGCGGGGGGGCGCGCACGGGGCGCGCACGGGCCGCGAAGGAACCCGGCTCACGGGGCTCGCCCTCCCAGCCTCGCCGTTGGGGGTTCGCGTCTGCGCGGGGCCGCGGCCCGCAGTCGGCCCTTGCGGCCGCTCGGGAAGCTGCCCCTCTGTCCACGCTGGAATGGGGAGCCCTGCTTCGAAACCGGCGCCCGAGCGCCCTAGCTGGCAATGCCTTACTCTGCAGTGTCCTGCCGTTGTACGTAGAACCTATTCTTTTCTTTCTTTCTTTGTTTTTTAAGATTTTAGTTTTTGACAGAGAGACACAGCGAGAGAGGGAACACAAGCAGGGGGAGCGGGAGAGGGAGAAGCGGGCTTCCCGCAGAGCAGGGAGCCCGACGCGGGGCTCGATCCCAGGACCCCGGGACCATGACCTGAGCCGAAGGCAGACGCTCAACGACTGAGCCACCCAGGCGCCCCTTTCCTCGTGGTTTTAATGGTGCTGAATCTTCAGTGCGTGATGTTTCCCTGTTGTTTTAATTTTGAATTTTCTACTTCTCGTAGTTTTGTTTTCTCCTTGATTATATTATAGGGGGTTTGTCTCTTGCAGTAGTTCTCAAAGTGTGGGCGAGGGACACCTGGAGTTTCCTGAGCCCCTTCCTCTGAGCTGGTGAGTTCAAAACTAAGTGCATAATAATAGCTTTCCCTCCCCACTTCCATTCTCTCACAAACGGACGTTAGAGTTTTCTGGAGGCTTCTGGATGAGTAATATTGCAACAGATTGAAAAGTGTTAACGATAAAACGGTTAAAAACAGATTTTATTCATATACTGCTGACAATAGGGGAAGGCACTGGGCTCCATTTGCATTTGTGCAGAGGGGATTGGACCTTTTAAAGATAATGAGAGAATTAGAAGAGGGAGAGAGCAGGGCTCATGTGGAAAATTATAAAGTGTTGGTCAGTGTAAATATGTTGAAGTCAGCCGTGGCGTGGCACCAGCTGGTCATTACCAAAGTTAGGATTCTATGTTCCTACAGAGACTGGAGACAGCAGCCCTCTCCTTCCTGCTCATACTATTTCAAAGGAATGGCTTTTAGGTGATTGAGAAAAATCCTTCCGAGTTGTAGGATATACACAGACATCTCTTTTAAGCTCTTTTTAGTAAATGCAGTAAGAAAGGGAGGTAGGAGCCTCTCCTTGGGTGTTGGCTAGAACAAACAGCAATTTCTCCTGGCAGCATTTCTCAGGGAGGCATTAGGCAGGCATTTGAATGGGAGGCTGGTGTCTTTGTTGGGACACAGCATTATGCTGCTAGAAGCCTTGTTAGAGTTTGGTTGTCTCTTAATGTAGAGGTTTGGACTGAGTTCTCCAGTGCTGAGTTCTGCAGTTCTCAAGGGCACAAGTAGCTTTGGAAACCAGCTGCTTTCCATCAAGCCAGACATTAAAAGGATTTGCACAAATATAATGCAGTGCTTACTCTTTTCACTAATATTTATTTGTTTTGGAAAATGTAGTTATTTTCCATAAAGTAGGGTTTTGGTGTTTTTTTTTTTTTTAAACAAAACAAAATGTTGTATTCATTTGTTAGGGCTGCCATAACAAAGTACCACGAACTGGGTGACTTAAAGAACAGAAATTCATTGTCTCAGTTATGGAGATTAGAAGTCCGAGATCAAGGTTTTTACATGGTTTGCTTGTTCAGAGGGCCTGAGAGAGAGACTGCTCTATTCCTCTTTTCTCAGCTTCTGGTGGTTTCCTGGCACTCTTTGGCATCCCTTGGCCTGTAGATCTCTGCCTTCATCTTCACCTGACTTCTCCTCTTTTTATAAAGAAACCAGTCATTTTGGAGCAGGGTTCACCATAGTGACCTCAGTTTAACTTAATTACCTCTATAGAGACCCTATCTCAAAATAAGGTCACATTCTGAGATATGGGGTTAGAACTTAAATATAGGAATTTCCAGGGGACACAATTCAGCCTATAACATATGTTAACATATAATGGATTTATTTTTATTTCTTAAATGGATTTATTTTTTAAAAATTAAATTTTTTTGTTTTAATTCTTAATATGACAAATATTGATAGATAGAACCTCCATAAACAAAAACTGTTTGGGGGGCGCCTGGGTGGCTCAGTCCGTTAAGCATCTTGCCTTCGGCTCAGGTCATGGTCCCACAGTCCTGGGATGGAGCCCTGCATCAGGCTCCCTGCTCAGTGAGGAACCTGCTTCTCCCTCTCTCGCTCCCCCTGCTTGTGCTCTCTCTCTCTGTCAAATAAATAAAATCTTTAAAAAAAAGAATCCCAGCTGAGCTCACAGTTGGCAGCCAGCATCAACTGCCAGTTTGTCAGTGCGTCATCTTCGTTCTGAGCCTTCAAATGAATCCAGCTCCCGTTGTACCTACCTGACACTGCACTCAAGGCCGTAAGTGAGAACCACCCAGTTGATCCCAACCAACTTATGGAACGGTGAGAAATTAAAGAAAGCATTGTTTTAAACTACTGTTTGGGACGTTTGTTATGTAGTATTAGAAAAGTGAATCTGTGGCTTGTGGATTTTTCTCTCCTAAAAATCTCTCCTGCTCCTTCCTGCCTATTTCCATCCCAAGGGCATTAGTTCAGGCTCTCATCATTGTTTTTAAAAATGTAAAAAGTTTTTTTTTTAACAAGTAATACATTCTCATGGCTTGAAATTCAGAAGGTACAATTGGGTATCTGGTGAGATCTTCCTCTGTCCCTTGACTCCTACCACCAACTTCCCTCCTCCTTAGCAACTACTCTTTTTAGTTTCTTGGAGATCTTTCTGTAGATATATTATGCATTGACAAGTAAATATGTATAAATATTTTTTCACTCTTTTACACACGTGGTGGGCTACCACATATTCAATTTTTCCTTTTATTCGTTTAACAATAAAATCTTTCCATACAAGCATGTAAGGCCCTTCCTTATTATTTTTAACAACTTTATTGAGATATTAGTCTCATTTCATCCATTTAAAGTGGGGTCCAGTTGGAGCACAGGGAATTTCTGGGGCCGAAAAAATGACTTTCAACTTAAGAACCTTTGTGGAATGGAGGAGGGTGTCTGTAGAGAACCACAGAAGAAATAGCTCATGACAGGGGCGCCTGGGTGGCTCAGTCGTTAAGTGTCTGCCTTCGGCTCAGGTCATGATCCCAGGGTCCTGGGATCGAGCCCCGCGTCGGGCTCCCTGCTCCGCGGGAAGCCTGCTTCTCCCTCTGCCCCTCCCCTTCCCACTTGTGCTCGCTCTCATATAAGTAAAATCTCTAAAAAAAAAAAGATAATAGCCCTGGTAGACAGATCCAGAAGACCTCGTGGATGAATAATGGGGACTCTGGATGGAGAAAGAGGGACAGAGAGAGAAGCTAATGATCAAGGCACCCACTGAGGAAAGTTTTCTAACGTGAGAAACTTGTCAGGACGCAGAAAGCTCACCAAGCTCTTGACAGGAGTAATGTATTAAACTGTTTGAAAACCGGGGCGGCTGGGTGGCTCAGTCATTGGACGTCTGCCTTCCGCTCAGGTCATGATCCCAGGGTCCTGGGATCGAGCCCCGCGTCGGACTCCCTGCTCCGCGGGAAGCCTGCTTCTCCCTCTCCCACTCCCCCTGCTTGTGTTCCCGCTCTCGCTCTCTCGCTCTCTGTCAAATAAATAAACTGTTTGAAAACCTAGTTAGTCACACGTGTGTGTTTTATGTGTGTGAATATAACTGTTGTGACCGTTATGTCAAGCTTGTTAATCATCATTTCACAGTGAATCACTTATCTACTTAAACAGCCAATTTTTTTTTTCTGAGAGAGAGATATTAAAGTTTCCGAAATGACTAGATTTATCCATCTTCCTGGTATTTCTACCATTTTTTTTCAGTTGAACTATTTCTAAAGATTCATGGTCATTTAAAAATCTTTGTATACTTTAACTTTTACGAACATAAGTTACCCCCTGCAGAACAGGTTACTGAATCAAGTGGTCTGAAACCCTGTTGTGCTCTTCATATATCGCAGTCTTTCCAGAAACTATACCCCTCGACACTTCTCCGTCAGGCATCTTCTCACCAACCCCTGGTATATGGGCTTACAATTTTTTAAAGAATCCTTGCAAGGCCAGTGGGCACGGAACAGTGACTAGTCTTTTAAGTTTGCATTTTCCTAGGTTAGATCTATGTACCTACTGCGAGGCTATGTTTGAATCCTTTCTTCTAAGCACTTTGGATTGTCTCAGCTTTACTTTACCAGCTAATTTCAGACCATTTGCTTACCTTACCATATGGTCATTATATGTTAGTTCATCCAGGGTTTATTGGGTGCCCTCTCTGCTCTGGACTCTCTGGAGCCCTCTGGGCCCTATGCCTGGCAGCTAGAAACAGCTCCCTTGTCCTCACATTTCAGGGGAGAAAGATGCTGGGTTTCTATGAGCATCTTCCTAGGGAGCTTAGCACAGCTGTGGCCAAACACCAGGAAGACTGCTGGGGAAGGCAACCCCGTCAGAGCAGAGCATTTCCAAGGTCAGGATACAGACCTACGAGCGAAAGGTCCTGTTGTGAAACAGCCAGATGTAGAATCCTCAAATTTGGACTGATGCACAAGCTATTTTCTACCTAGGATGGCTAGATGTGTGGCCTCAATGTGTAGTAGGCAAAGGGTATTCCATTGCCACTCTCTCTGAGGGCAGCAATGTGGGAACGGTTTCTACATGTGCAGGAGACACAGAAGCCACCATCAAGCTATTACATCTTCTCCAACTGGAAGGCTTCTTTCCACATGTTCCGTGGCCCTGAGAACACAGTTGGGCATGGCTCTTTGTTTTGAAGTGATGCTTCATTTTCCCCTCCAGAGATCCTAGTTCCAGCCTAGACTTGACCACCAACTCAGTCTGTGTCCCT